TGCAAACACATCCTGGAAATCTTCATTATAACAATCTTCCTCATAGATTCTCTTGTCACTGGCCATGTCTCATTTTGCTACTTGGGAAACTTCTTCCCACCTTCTGGGAACAGACCCTTCCCATCATTATCCACATGGTCCCTGCTTCCCTGATGCTTTGGTCTCAGATGGCACCTCTCCCCGATGTCAGGCCAAGCTCACTCACTTTCCCAGACCCTGCCATCCTGGCTTTAGGGAGGCTCAAGGGAGAACTGCTGAGCCCCTTCCTGACCCACAAAATTGTGAGCAAAACAAAATGGTTGTTTCCAGTTGCTAAGTTTTAGGGTGATTTGTTATGTGACAAAAATAATCAGAAAAATCCCCATGAGTAATACAGCTTTTTGGGGGGTAGCTACTTGATTATTTGGGGGTACCCTAACCCACTGGACCATGTTGCTTCCCGGTTTATCTGCAATCGCTTTTGCAGTTCCACCCACTAGCGACATCAGCATTTCTTCATCTAATCATCCCTGATATCGACTAAGTCCTCTTTAACATGGAAAGACAAATTATAGTTAATTACAAGGTCAAGTTGAGGATCAGGAAGCACCTTCCCTCCTGTGTGTCTTTGCTCAGCGTTCCCTGGGTATCCCACAGGGAGTCCAGCACCCTTGCAGGCCAGCCCCACTACCACCCCCTCTGGATATCCCTGCCCCTGCAAGCATGGCAGCATACCGTAGCTCTTATGCTCCATGAAGCCTATTTCTGTCACTGTCATAGTGTGGCTAGCTGTTCATGTGTAAGGACAGGTTGTATTATAAATTATTGCTTGGGCACGAGTGAGGCCCCAAGCCTGGGCGTGAGCCAGATGGGAACTTAGTGGACCCTGCAAATCAACCCCTAGTATCCCTGAGCCTTCTCAGAGAAGGGAATGAGAGAATAAACTTGGAAGAGAAATTCTTGCACCACTGTCTAAGCATTTTTGAGCTAATTGTGTATTACATGGAAATTAGTGAATTATTAGAACTTTTTGTTCAAAGCTCAAATGGCTATGACCTAAAAAGAGCGAGTTTAAAAAAAGCAGACAAGAGAATGTGTCCACTTTGACACTTGACAAGCCAGCAAAACTCTACTATAACGTGCCTGTTGTTAGATAATGTCATTTGTGCAGAGTCTCATCTGGCGTAATTAGGGTCCTGGCTCTGTCTACCCCACTCCCCTAAACCCAGCAACATAAACGGGCTATTACTCTTTGCACCAGTCTACAATCCACAGCAATGTGCTCACCAAATTCATCCAAACTGTAGTCTCGTCCTCCATATCTGATTCTATTTCCATCTTCGGAGAGGATGGGCTGTGGGAAGCCTTTGAATCTGGCCACATTTTGAAGCAACTGTGTTGGTCTCAATTGGTCTCGCCAAGTATTGACTCCAGAACTGTGAACAACATCACACACAGGTGCCGGAGTTACTGCAGGGCCCACTGGTTCTTCTTGGTTTCACACACACACACACATATACCTCTAGATGTTTCCGTATAATAGTAGTAGGGAATGTGCTCTCCACTTGGGATTTTGCCTAGAAATCTATTTCGGAGGCCTAAAATCCACATGTTATTTTGGCCTCAGCCAATCAGTTATTTTCATTTATTTATTTAGCCCTTGGTTTCCTCCTCTGTAAAAGTGAGGAGTTTGACTGAGATCACTGTATTCATAATAGGAAAACTCATAAAAAAGAAATTGCAAATTATATCTCATTAAATGCTGGGGAAAGACGCCCTGTAGCGGGCAGAGGAAGAGGGACGTCACAAAATCGATCGATTTGGGGGAGGGGGAAGGAATCCCCGTTTCCCAAGGGCAGGGGATTCCCGCCATCAAACCCTGCGGCCCTCAGTCCCTGACGTCCAGGAGAGGCTGAAAGAGGAGGCACGAGGGGGCTGGTTCTCCGAGCTGTGACATGTGCCACCTCCAGGGTGTGGCACCGCTCCAGCAGGCCCCATTTTACACAGAACGTGATGTGAATCAGGGCAATGTGTAGGGGCCCTGATTCTCTCTACGACAATCCTATCATTAAAAATGGTACTTAGCCAGTTGAAAGGAGCAGCGGAAGAAAGACACCGAGGTAGAGCACCAAAGCTGCCCCAGGTGTGACTGTCAGATGGAGCCACTGGCCCCATCGAGGGCCAGAGCAACTTACACGCAGTACTGCTCAGGGATGCCGCAGTGGGACCCAAACCGGGAAAGGAATCTGTTCTCCAGGTCGATAATTGTTTCTCCCACTTTTTCGTCACGGGTGAAGGTGTCGTAGTCGTAGACGGAAATCTTCAGGTCCTTTTCTTGAGGTAAGTAGCAGCTCAGTTCGTACATTCTAAATAAACCAATGCAAGGTTAGAAGCTCCACGAGCCGTCCGGGTCCCTCACAAAAGCTGGGGCTCCGGGCAAGTGCTACCAGGCACGGCCGTGGCTATTGGAAGAGAACATCTGACGGGATAACCGGGGTGAGTGGCGGTGCATGGGGAGACTCCACAAATAGCACAGAACAGTAAGAGAATATCTGCTTGCTCAGGAGGAGATTGCGGGCTTTAAAAACCTAGGTTCGAATCCCACCTCTGCTGCTTGCTAGCTGTGGGACTCTAGGCCAGTTATTTAACTTCTCTGTGTTCAGTTTTCTCATCTGTAAAATGGTGATTATAATGCCTGCCATCCAGTGTTGTCATAAGGGTCGAGTGAAGAAATGTTTAGAAAGCACTTGGCATGAGTGCGTTTCTCAAACCACAATATAGTAACAGTAATGTGTTGTATTAATAACATCATCAACTTTATGATTCCCACGTGCCTATTTACTGGGTCTCCTGAGCATCTGTCTCTACCCGGCTGGGAGATTAGCAAGGCACAAGCACCCTGGTTTACAGTCCCCTGTCTGCCCCTACTCTGTTCCCTCCTCTGCCCCAACAGGGACCACTGTGCCACAGTGCTCCTTTGACTCACTGCGCAGGGGAACAGGGCAGGGCTGTGAGTGGAATTCACCATGCGGTGTGGTGTGCAGGGTGCCCGGAAGGTTCCTCCCTCCTCCCAGACCCTCTGGGTCTATCACTGGCTTTGGTTCCTTAAGACTTTTCTATAGAAACTGCATTAAAATGTAAACCCTTCTGAGACAAAGATAATCAAACAGTACTCTTTGCGGCAGGTGAGGACTGTGATCCAGAGGGTGCTAGGTGCATGGCATGCGCCCCAGATGGGTGCTGGAGTCTGCACCTGCACTGTCTGCAGAGTTATTACTCCCAGAGAAGGTGCTCAGTACCGTTTGTTGAAGGAGAAACTTCGAGAAGCCTCCTTCCTCCCTGTGTCTCCTTTTCTCCTCCCTGCACTCGGTGTGTGGACTGGTTCCTGCCCAAAGAGCCAGGAACGTTGGCCCGCTTGAACAGAAGGGTGTGTGTCCATACGGCTCTGGAGAAAAGCTTCCGAGATGTCTCTGGACAACCCTAGAGCAACTTCTCCAGACGGCAGCTGAGGCCTGCAGGAGGCAGGCCACCACACGGGAAAAGGTGCTTGTATCATGAGCACACAGGAAGCGCCGTACTCACGCCCCACAGTGTCACATTTCCAATACCAGGTTCCAAGGGACAGGCAATATGTGTCCTCTCAGAAAAAGAATTCTTTGATCAAATAAGGTTGAGAACCACCTCTTTTGGAGTTCCTGTAGACAAACTAAAAGCTCTGAGAAGTCCTGCAATTATAATCTTTTTAAATCCAGGTGTCTTGGTTTGACTAAGGAGTACTGTTTTGTTTTTTTTTCTTGGAACATTAAATTAATATCTTAGAGAAGACACTGATTCTCTTTTTTTTTTTTCTTTTGAATGTGGTTTGGACAATGCTATGATGCAACAGGAATATGCTGCCTGACAGCCAAGCACATAGGAAAGGTTGCCTTTTCCTGAATTCCTGTCCCAGAGTCCCCAGGAATCTCTGCTGAGAAGAAAGCCACCCCCTAGATGGAGGCCGTGGCGCTGAGCCGGCTGAGGGGAAGTCTCCGCACCCGCCATTGGCTGAGCAGCGCCTAACAGGATCACTTCCTTCCAGGGTGGCTCCAAGCAAGAGGTTTCCTGCCACATAATTAAGCTTGTGCTTGGCTCCTCTGAGACCAGCGACTCAGACAGGGCCGCCTTCTCCCTTCAAAGCTGGCTGGCCCTGCCTCCCCGACTCCCGCACCGGAGCCCTCCTTCCTGCCCTGCGTGCCTTTTCCTGTCTAGACCCCAGGGCTGGATCAGTGGAAGAAAAGGAAAATGATCACATTGCTGTGCCAGAGGATTACTTCCACTCCCTGGCCTCGGCACGCGGCCGGGGGCGCACGGCACAGCGGGGGAGCGTGTGCACGCGGGTGCGCATGCGTGTGCGGTCTTGTGTGCACGTGCGTTACCAGGTGTGTGTGAACGTGAGAGACTTGGAGTGATGAACATGCGTGCGTGTGTGCGTGCCCGTGAGACACACGAGAGAGCGAGTGCAGTGTGTAAGGGCACAAACCAACAACCACGAGTAGAAAAGAAGTGCACAGGCAAGATAATAAAGCCAGAAATAAAAACACAGGCCACACAGCAGACAAGAGCACAGTATTCTCAGCAAGGTTCTGGGGAAATTACACCATTCACAAACGTCTTGAACAAAGAATATTTCTCTACAGCTGATGGCTTTGCCACCAATACGAAACATCACCAAGGGGATTGAAAAAGCAGGGGGCTTGGAATCAGGAATTCCTACTAAATCCTGGTTCTACCACCTAGCACCTCTGTCTGCAGAGCTCCGGGAGCCTCTGTCCCTCCCCCGTGGAGCTGGGCTGTCGCTCTGTGCCCTGCCCCGCCGTGGGGATGAAAGTCAGGCATGGCAGCAGCAGAGAGCGCTGCATGGAGCCACACAGGCCGGGGCCAGGGGGCCTGGGTTCAGATCCTCACCCTTAGCACAGGGAAACATCAGGCACTGATTCTCTCTGTGCCTCAGTTTCCTCTGTTGTAAAGTAGGGATAAAAACAGAGATTTTTGAGATGTTTTGTATAAATAGCTCAGCTCAATGCCTGCACACACTAAGTGCTCAGCAAACATTAGCTATTATTAAATGTGGAAACTGTTTATAGCTGAAAAATGCCAGTCCTGTTTAGAGACTACGTGGATTTGGTCACTTGAGATGGCTCTGCTGAGATAAATATCACAGTCCAGAAACAAGTCCCGAGTTGTGACGATGAAGAAAGTGATGCCATTTGAAGGATCTCTGGGAACAGGAGACAGGTGGAGTGGGACATTTGGCCCTGTCACTTTCTGCCGCCTCCTTGATTTTGGTAACAGACTTAATGGTACACTTACTGGATAAAAATGGTGGAATCAAACATCCCAGAAAACAGACCCCAAACCGGATCAGGACATGAGAGCAGCATGGCACTGCAGGGAAGTCACCTGCCCTGTCCTTGTTGTGGAGAACCCACAGTTTATCAGGTTCCTGTGCCAGGTGATAACGCTGTCCCTCCCCCTGCCAAGGTCGCAGGGCAAATCTCTCCCCCAGAGAAGCCCTTCTCGTCACTTACTTTTATCACAGCGCTTTCCACTCCCATGAAATCCTTTTATTTGTGCATTTACCTATTTATTGCCTGCTCCCCTGACTGGCATGTTTGTTTAGATCATGACCACGGTGTCAGAGCCTAGACCATGGACGGGCACACATGACATCCTTCGTGCACGTTCCGTGGGGAAATGGATGACAAAAGAACATTCACGAATGCACATCACCTGCCAAAGACCGGGTTGAGAGTGTTGGGAATGTAGTGGTCCCGGTCTTCGATGACTTTCTTGCCCAGCGTTATCTTTATGTAAGGGTCACACTGCAAGGACAAAAACGGACAGGTGTTACACCACTGCAGGGTGCAGGTAGAAGTCAAGTTCTGGGACAGACTCCGCTTCCCCCACACCCACCCCCCGCTAACAACAAGGTGGCCGCTGTGGCACCCGAGAGCTAAGACGGGGCCAGAGCAACGCTCCCTCTCAGTGGCACGCAGCCGGCAGTGTGGGTGCCGGGGAGCCGGCTCTGCTCACGCCTGCCTGCTGGTGAGACTGGAGCGAATCCTGTCCCAGCTCACACCTGTAAGATGAGAAGGATGAACCAGAGGACTTTAAGCCCCTGCAAGCTCTTAGATAAATCCCCACCAGGACAATCCTCCCAAGTACATTGTTTGGATAGAGTATCTTTCCCCTAGTGAGATAACAGACGCCCAGAAAGAAAGAACATGACAATTACTGCGGCTGATGACTATAATTATCTTGCTACAGGAGAAGGCCCCACACCCAAACTCTTACCAGTCCATTGTTGTCCTGGGGCTGGAGCTCTAAGCCTCGAACAATGTAAATCCTAACCGTGCATTCCTGTGGGACGCTGTCAGGTAATTCCCGAAACTGCCTGGGAGGGGCTGGCACGCTGGGGTCATCCGACAGGGGGTAGATGCGGAAGGAGCCCTAAGAGGGAGACACAGGTGGATTTGCAGGGCCTGGGCGCCCCAGGCAGGGGGCCCCTGGGCAGTGCCCTCTTCCACCAGGGGGGTGGACCTGGGCTGCCGCCCTTAGTGGAAGAGACAACGCGTGCCACACACACTTTGCATATTTGCAGTAGGGAAAGTGGAGTGATTATACGGTAATTATTTGAGAGACCACAGGGTTGAAGAGAGAGTCAGGCAGAAGCAAGGAGGCCAGACCAGAGCCCAGTGAGAGGTGGCGTTGCTGTGGGCTGCGAGGGGGGGGTGAGGAGGAGGGAGATGGTGCACACTTTGCAGAGAGGAATAACAGTAAATACTCTTGAACCCAATGAGCCACCAAGGCTGAGTTCTTTTTTCCTGCATCAGCCCTGCGCAACTCCTCCCACTCCCAGGCAACCTTCTGTTCATCCTTCTGGTCTCAGCTGAAAGGGCTCAATTCTTTCAGGAAACCTCCCTGACTGCCCCTGGGTGGGGTGTGTCCCCTGCTTGTCTCTGACCCTGCATGGTGAAATGGGCTATGTATTGCCTTTTGCCTTTGTCCTTTACGGGACTGTGAGCTTGTTCATTACTCTGCCTCCAGGGCCCAACACAGGGCTGGGCATCCAGCCGGGGCATAGGAAATGTGTTTTGAGGAGTGAGCCAGCAGGCCCTGGAGAGGCCACCTATTTTTTGTCTTGAAACCAGCTTACATCCAGGAGAAAGCACTGAAGCTGGTTATTCAGAAGATGGGAATCTTAGCTCCAGCTGTCTAGATTCCATAGCAGCGTGAAACAAGCACCTACTATGTGCCAGGTGTTGGGACCCCCAAAAATGAGCTCAAGGAAACCAGTGTGGCAACAGGGATGTCCACTAGGGCTTTGGGAAATGAGAAGCCCTGGAACCACCGGGAGGGCACCATCCTCTGGTCCATTAGCAAGGGCTGCTGCTGGCAGAGGATGAAGAAGTAGCAGCACTCCTGTCCCGCCTTTGCCAAGTGCGGTTGCAGGGAGAGGCGATCACAACAGCAGACACTGACAGTGAGAGAGGAGCTTCCACGGCATGAACCCAGACCTGTGGGAGCCCAGAGTGGGAGTGAGTCACACTGCCCGAAGCAATCAGGGCACACTTGACAAAGAATGTGACATTTGAGCTGACATTTGGCGCTTAAAGGAATGAGTAGGGCTTTGTCAGACCACAAAGAGGGAAGGGAGGGCTTCCAGGGAAGGAAGAAGAGCCTGTCCCAAGGCTCCAAGTAGTGAGAGGACAAGGTGTGTTCGGGGCTGGGGACAGGCTCCCCAGAGCTGGAGGGTGGGGTGTGAGAGGGAGGGGGACAAGCGGACGCGTAGCTTGCGAAAGGCAGGCTCTGCCTTAGGAAGGAGTTGAGACTTGATCCTACAGAAACACAAACAATGTCTTTAAGCCATCAAGAAATAGGATCAGATTTGGTTTCGTGGAGGCTGGACTGCAGTGGAACAAGAAAGGTGGCAAGGACAGCCAGTTGGGAAGTTGTCGCAATGATCCTGCCGTGGGGTGGGGAGGAGGAGCTCGATCTTGGACAGAGTGCATCTGCAGGACCTGGGACTTGTCGGCTGGCTCGAGCCGGGAGGAAGGAAGAGAGACCGAAAATGTCCTTGAGTGTCCTGGCTTCCCCATCACCCTTTTTTTTTGGTGGCACTTTCCACCCAGCACCCTTCAGAGGCTGGAGGACACGTCCCGGCCCCAGAGGTTGGTTGTCCTTTATCTCAGGTCTATAAAGAAATTAAAGGTAGATTTTAAACAAACAACACACGCATTTTCCTCACCTTAAACTCTCCTACCACAGAAGGATCTTCGTTCTCGTCTGATTTGCCTCGGTACAACTTGAAAGTATCCGAGAAGTCCGTCAGGCCCTCAAATTCTGTTACATCCTCTAGTTCGCAATCATATATCTGAAAACCACCAACAGATTCTTAATTTTTTTATTACAATGCAGATGAAGCCTAAAATCAATGGGACCCACAATGCCAAGGGGGCATGAGGATGCAGACAGAGCAGCGGGGACTCCAACTGCTGGCGAGAGCAGGGAATGACACAACCACTTCGGAAAATGCCCGGCGGTCTCTTAGGGAGTTAAAGAGTCACCTATGCGGTAATCCGGAAATCGCCTGGGTATTTACTGAAGAGAAATGAAAACATGTCCACATGGTACAAGGATGTTCGCAGCAGCTCCAGCATGAGCAGAAGGGGTACACAAACTGTGGTACATCCGCACCAGGAATCCTACTCAGCAGTAAGAAAATATGAACTACAGACACACATTACCACGTGTGTGTCAAAGCTACACGTGGGGCCAAAGAGGCCAGACACACGGAATATATCCCAGATTAGTCCGCTTATGTGAAGCGTAAAAGCAACAAAATCAGTCTATGGTGACAGAAGTCAGAGCAGCTGCTCCTGGGAGGGGTCAGGATCATGGGGAGTTGACGGGAAAGGGACACAGGGGAGCTTTCTGTGGTGAGGGGAGTATTCTGTCTTGTTTTTGGTGGTGGTGTGCACAGGTACATACATGAATGGAAACTCACTGAATAGATCACTTTATTGTATGTAAATTATTCTTCAATGAAAAGGCTAGAAGAAGGAGAGGCAAGGAAGAATGAGGAGGAGAGAGAAGGAGGGAGGGAAGGAAGGAAAGAAGGAAGAAGGAAGGAGGGAGAGAAGAAGAGAAAGAAAGAAGGAGGGAAGGAAGGAAGAAAGGAGGGAAGGAAGGAAGAATGGAGGGAAGGAGGGAGGGAAGGAAGGAAGGAGGGAAGGAGGGAAGGAAGGAAGGAAGGAGGGAAGGAAGGAGAGAAGGAAAGGAGGGAAGGAAGGAAGAAAGGAGGGAAGGAGGGAGGGAAGGAAGAAAGGAGGGAGAGAAGGAAGAAAGGAGGGAAGGAGGGAGGGAAGGAAGGAAGGAGGGAGAGAAGGAAGGAGGGAAGGAGAGAAGGAAAGGAGGGAAGGAAGGAAGGAGGAAGGGAGGGAGGGAAGGTGGGAGGGAAGGAAGGAAGGAAGGAGGGAGAAAAGAAAGGAGGGAAGGAGAGAAGAAAAGGAGGGAAGGAAGGAAGGAGGAAGGGAGGGAGGGAAGGTGGGAGGGAAGGAAGGAGGGGGTGAGGGAGGATGCACTGTGAAACTGATCCCCAGCCCAGTTTGATCATATTTCTAAATTAGAGGTTCTTTACACGCTAGTATTTCTTCAACTGCACTGAGAGGTTATGACAATCACATGAAGGGATGTGGTTTTTTTCCACTTTGATGGGGAAAATTATTTGAGTGACTAGTTGTTTCTCAATTTATAGTTTGTTCCTCATATACATTGTTCTGAAAACTTTGGCGTTTGCTTCTACATGAGTGCATTACAGGCTGAAAAACTGAATGAAGCACTGTAAAACTCGAAACATTCTCAGCAATATCAAAGATGGCCAGCCCTGCCTAGCTCAATACCTGTCTTCCTCCTGGACACACGTTCCCACGGTTGTGATTTTATGCTATATACGTGTGACAGAATCAACTTTTCAGCTAGTGAAACCAATCCCTGTTCAGAGGACACAATGAAGCGTGTTGACATCCTGTGTTGTTCTGCAAAGAGTGCTATGACTTCTGGATCTCCCTGAGTCAAACAGGATCATTGTGGGACTAATTAGTGTGGTGCCAACCCATTCCCAACCCTCTGCCAGATGCCTCCAAGCCCCAGAGTGGCAGTCACGTAACCATGACTCAATAGCTGTCCTCTAGTCCCTGGAATCTTGGCAAAGCCAAAATCTGTGCAAAAGGGCCCTCCAGGAGCTCAGAGGTTCTCGTGGCCCCTTCCCATTAGCACCCACCAAGGGACCTTTCAGGGCTATGCACGTGGCCAGTTTTAATGGATGTTCATTCCCCACCCACAGCGGCATAGGTCCACGTACCTTGAGCTTGGAATAGCCTTTCTGAATATATTGTCCACATTTCTCATGTTCCCCTAAGGAAGCATAAAATTTACTCCACCAGTCCACGACCTCTTCTTCCTAAAGACATGTCAAAATGGAAAAATCTTTAGTGATGACCTGGATTTCCAATCTATGAGGGGAAAACTCATATGTAATAGGTAAGAAGAAATAGGCACTTCTGGAACTGTTATAGGTGAAATGACACTTTTGTTTACATGCATGGTGGACAAAGCATTCACAATTCTGCTCAGAAGCTGGAGGTGAAATGACCATTCTTGGCCTATAACACGTTTGGCTTTAATGTCCATAGTGATGCTAGATAATTTTCTTACATCCTATAGACACAGTTGATTAATTTTTCTGTTTTTATCTTTTTATCTTGTTGACTTGATATATACATATAAATTTAAAGAAAACCTCCAATATATGTTTTCTACTATCAATTTTCTTTGCCCTTTTAGCCAGTAATGCATTGTAACACAACACTCACTAAGCTAAGAGTTAGAAAAACTGGTTCCAATTCTGGTTCCCTCCTCTATGTTATAAGCCTACACTCGTGTTACAAACCATATCAGCTTAGGCATGTTGTTTACCATCTCTGAGCATCAATGAAATAATAACACTACCTGCCTCCATCTACCTTATAGGGTTGTTCTGGAAATCCAATAAGATCATTAGGTAAAAGAGCTTTGAAAATGTGAAATTACGGTTGGGAGGTATTATGGCTCATTTAGACCAGTGGCTACTTTTGGGGGTTCTGATTCAGTCAGTCCAGGGTGAGACCTGGGTGTCCAATATGCTTTCATAAGTTCACCAGGTGACTCTAACGTACAGCCAGTGTCGAGGACCATGTGGTTTTGATGGATGGTTCTTGGTTGGGCAGGAGGGACAGCTTATCAGAGTCACTTGTGGAACATTTTCAAACTACAGAAGACTTATAACAAGAATAGACTCTCATCAGCCCCAACCATTGCTTCTTTTCCTCTCCCTTGGAAGTAGTGATGTTCCCCCACACACAGAATGTCACCTGCAGTATGGCTTCCTATTCAGTCTTGGGGGAAAGGAAGAACAGACAAGAAAGGCTATTTCTTGTTTGTGTTATATATATATGTGTGTGTTTGTGTGTGTGATGCGTGTGTGTGTGTGTGTGTGTGTGTGTATGTGTGTTACACAGAGCGACACAGATTTACTTCCCCTTTGTAGGTCAGTAACCCACCCCTGGATTTAGAAAAATTTTATTTACATATCAATTATAGCCAGAAAATACATGAATTTCTTTTTTTTTTTTTTTTTTAAGACAGGATCTTACTCTGTCACCCAGGCTGGAGTGCAGTGGTCTGAGTATTGCTCACTGTGACCTCAAATCCCTGGGCTCAAGTGATCCTCCCACCCCAGCCTCCTGAGTAGCTGGTACTATAGGCATGTACCACCACACCCAGCTAATTTCTTTTTTATTTTTTGAAGATATGGGGTCTTGCTATGTTGCCCAGGCTGGTCTTAAACTCCTGGCCTAAAGTGATCCTCCTGCCTCAGCCTCTCAAAGTGCTGAGATTACTGGTTTGAGCCACTATGAGGGGCCTATGCATCTTAAATGTAGCAAAATGACTACAACAGTTACCTTTTCTGACAGCTGCTCACGTGCACAAGTATGGTGAGGAGAGGGCAAACCACATAACAGGTCACACGGATATGGAGATCCCATGAACATTAGGTTTAAAGAGAAAGAGAGAAGGAGAAATTATTTTTCCTACAAAAATTTTTCCTATTTTTCCTATAAAATATTATTTTATATTATCAACATTTTGATGGGTTATTTAAATTATTCTAGTCAAGATGATCTCATAACTGAACACACCTTATTGGTTTCTGCTCTGAAAATATGCAAAACGGTTACACACAGTATTAAAATGAAAGGCTTGGAGGTGGCCACCCCATCTCATGTTTCCAACAGAATCAGACCTGTCCCAGTCTGCTCACACAGGGGTCGCTTGGCGGGAGGTGGGGAGCTGCCCATATCCCTGCCCCAGACCTTTCGTTCCATTCATCTCCTAAAGTATTTCCCCAGCTTGGCCCAATTCTCCTCCCTTCAAAAACTCCCCTGTCACAGGGTGTGTTTGATTGTGATCTCGTCATGCAGGTCCCTTTCTCTTGGTTTTTCCGCATGCCTATGTCATAGCACCAAATAAATGCTCATTCATCAAAATTACTCTAATATGAGGATTTCTGGTTTTTCATTGGTCAAATCCTTCCATGTGACTTTTTGCATGGAGAATCCATTCCGACCTCAGGGCACAGCCAGGAGCTGAGAAAATGAAGAGCCGGGACGGGGGTCTAGAGTATGGTCCTGGTTCCTGCTGGGACGTCAGCCAAGCTTATCCTCAGCGGCAGCTTAACAAAATGCTGCCGAGATCCCTTTTCTCAAATTCTAACTTCAAGTTCATTTCTAATGGGTGCTTCTCACAGCTACTATGTATTTCCAAATTTGATTTTCATTCAACACAATGGAATTGCCAAGAGAGGCAGACAGACAGACAGATACATCAATTCTTTCTATTAGACACATACCAAAGCGATTAAGGGTTAAATAATCACAGCCAAATTGAGATTTTGGAGGGAAAGATTTTATTCCAAAAGTACTCTTACATTTCTCAGTGGTTCCTGAATTCAGGTTTTTAGGGTCTGTTTATTCACATTTATTTTCAGCTATTCAAAACTGCTTTGAAAAACGGTTCATGATTTAGAAAGCATTATTTAAGACAAGTTGCTGATTGTAAAATTTAGGATTAGTATGGGAGGATTTATTCGTGCCCACTCGCTCATTAGTTCAAGTGGAGAAGTAACGGAAGCAACTTGCTCTATTACATCTAATAAGGAACTTGCAATGGGAATCAAATCATTAAATGTCACAGAAGATTCTTCCCTTAGGCTTAAAATAATCATATGTGTTTGAAGATCACCTTTCACTCCAAAATCTACTAATAGAAAGAATCCGAAAGAAGAATTCAAGTCTTTAGACTGAGGTCCCACAGTCCCAGGCAGCTTTATGCATTTTCTTATCATACATACATGCACTGTCGTTGGAGAAGCCATTTTGCTGAGTGCTGTTGACATACTGCTTAAGCACTGGAATTGGAAGGTAATTGTTGAGACGGCCATATAAGGAATGTCCGTGTTATCTGGCTAGCACTTGACCAATTTGCCCCAAACACTTATTTCTCACTTTTCTTGCGGTAGTGCTCGGCCCATTTGTTAAGAACACCCATGGACATTTCAGGGTAATGCCATGAGTTTCTGGAGCATGACAATGTCACCCAAAGTCATAGTCTCCAGCCCCCAGCAATAGCACAGTTAGCTTTGACACATTCCCCCAGTTTACCTAGACATAAGGCCTGCATCAAGTTAGTGGTAATACATGTACATTACATGTACATCACATATACATGTAATACAGGACATCAGCAAGCTTGTCATTGGCTCAAGCTTTGCTCATCTGACTTTGCATAGATGTGCAGTGCCTGATGAACAAGCAGACTCAGGTTTTTAGAGATTTCAACCAGCCTTTCTTATCAACAGTACACTAGGTGTTAGGAGAGTAAGCTCATTGAAGTCACTTACAGTACAGTAGAGATAACTGACACTACCACCCCCAATCCTGCTATGTTGCAATGTTTAATTCTACGATATAAACTGAACTTTTATTACATGCTGCTACTGTAGCCTCGTCATCTCTGGGGTTTTTTTGTTTTGAAACAGGGTCTTGCTCTGTTGCCCAGGCTGGAGTACATTGATGCAATCATAGTTCACTGCAACCTCAAACTCCTGGGCTCAAGCAATTCCCTGCCTCAGCCTCCAGAGTGGCTGGGACTACAGGGGACTATTCTTCTCTGCTCCCCAACTGTATTTAGGGCTACTGAGTACACAGGAGGCACGCAGTAAGAATTGATCGACAACGGGAGATGGTAAAACCGGAGGCAGATTATAGAACAAGATCTTAAACTATCTTTTTTTCCAGAGCAGGTGTAAATCTACAGAAGAGTCTTATGTATATTAACTTCCCCCAAGGCTACTACTGTCTTATTGGGAATATTTGGGGTGGTTTACAAAGGGACAATAGTAGTTTTGCCCCGTGGGATGGGAAATTTGATATTGTCATTTGTGACTGTATAGGATTTCCAGAGAGTAGACTCAAGCACACTGTTGCATGGTGCTGGCTGTGGAGACCACATTTTATTCGGTCCAATTGTTAGTGAGTTTAATGTGGTGGGAAGGAAGTAGAATTTTTTTAAGGCACTGTTTATGGACATAACACATTAAAGTGCAATCATGTGCATTTTTTGGCCAGTTTGCACATTAAAACATGCTGTGAAAGTTCATCGTAAATGCCAAAAGAAACAGGGAGATATTTGGTGTTTTCTTTTTTCTGGGCTGAGACTTTTTTTTCCCCTTTCCTTCTTGTAGAAGTGCTTGGAATGGTTTTAAAATAGGGTCTGAGTATTTCTACCAATTTCTTCACTTCAAAACCACAGTGAATATAAAAATCTGAGTGTCCCTTATACTGACAAATAGGGTCATTAAAAATCCATGACACTTCTGCTTCATGCAAGGAACAAACCTGGCATGCCATATGCATCCCTGTTCTGAATGTTGCAGTGGTGTAAATTTGTTCCTGAAACTTCTCTTTCTAGCAAATGATATCACTCAGACTGTCCACACCAGTGGTTCTCAGACCTGGATGCACATTAGAAACACTTGGGGAGATTTGAAAATATACTGACGTCTAGGTCTTTCCCCCACTTGGGGTGTGAGGGTGGGGCCTAAGCCTAGGTATTATTTTAAGTATCGTGGGCGACTGATTAGTGATGGTTGAAGACCGCTATGTCTTTAAAACTACTGATTGAATGCAAGATTGATTGATTGATTGATTGAGACAGAGTCTCACTCTGTTGCCCAGGCTAGAGTGCCATGGCATCAGCCTAGCTCACAGCAACCTCAAACTCCTGGGCTCAAGCCATCCTCCTGCCTCAGCCTCCTGAGTAGCTGGGACTATAGGCATGCACCACCATGCCTGGCTAATTTTTTAAATATATTTTTAGTTGACCAATTAATTCTTTTTATTTTTAGTACAGACGGGGGTCTCGCTCTTGCTCAGGCTGGTCTCGAACTCTTGACCTTGAGTGATCCTCCCACCTCAGCCTCCCAGAGTGCTAGGATTACAGGCATGAGGCACCACACCCGGCCTCGAGCGCAAGATTTAGATTCTTGTCTCTACTCAGTCCTCGATAAACTGGTTTGATGATTATTATTTTAATTGCACTCAAAAGAGTTTGACTGAATTCACCAAATGCTTAGATATCTGGAAGATAAAACTGACCGTATCAGTGATCAGCTCTGAAGCCTACCTTAGAAGCCAGTAGTGGTTTGGTGTCTTCTACTTCGATAACAACGTCCCGGCAGGGTGGGGCAGACATAAGGGAGGCTGCAAGACAAACAATTTCATAATCCCAGATACTTAGAGAAATACAGTGGTGAACATATTACTCCAAGTTCAAGTTTAACAGCCATAGGGGTAACGGTAGAGTTTATTCCCAGATGAGACTTAGTGAAAGGAGAGGAAAACATCTGAGTGTAGAAAATAACCCAACAAGCCATCATTTTCCCCCACATCCATTACAGTTTTAGACATTTTATAGGGGACTGTATGATCCATTTTTCTTTAGTTTTGGACAAATTAGTCCAGTGCTTATACACAGGAAGCTCTCAGAGAAGAAATGTGTCCATACACATATCTTTAGAGGGTACAGGAGTGGTGGATGGGAACCTCCATTTAAAGGAGCCTTCTTTTCTTGGAATTTGCTCCTAATCACAGAAAATAAAGAAGAGATGGGATGAGAAAAAGAAAGGAAAGGAAAAAAAAGCAGAATGGAGAGTTGTGAATCTCAGGTCTGAAGTTGCAGTGGCTTTCTCAGCCCTTGTTCTCACAGTGTGTGCTGGGGAGAGGGCACATGCTCTCGCTTCATGCACAATTCCCAAAATGTCCATGGCTCAGGATTGTGGGGTTAGAGCAAGGGCTCAGAAGTAGCCCCTAGGTTCACCAGGTTTGGTTCAGCTAAAGGGGGTGCCAAAGTCTCAGCCTGGGGACGGTTGGGGCAAGAGGTACCGCACCCTTTTATTGAAGAAGCATCAAGCAGCCGGACATTCAACAGGAGGCCAGAACCCAGGCCGAACAAGCCCCACCAAGCCAAGAGAACTTTCTTTTCTGTTTAACCCACCCAGGCCTCTGACATATAGGACATAAAGGAGGGGAGGGAAGAGACATATTTAGGTACCTACCACGTGTCAGGCCTTGGAGTAAGCACTTTATTTACATGATCTCATTTAATTATCATTTAATCCTACAGAATATATGCCATTATTTCTATTTTAAAGATTTAAACACAAACTGAAGATAAGAGAAAAGTCACTTGCTTCAATTTCAAACAGTTAGTAGCAAGTGGAAGTAAGTAACCTAGATCTGTCTGACCCTAAAGCTTGTGTTTTTACCATCACACCAGAGCCTGGGGGAGCAATACGGGTGACACTGGAGAGGCATGTGAGACTGACATTTGCTGAGCATCTATGGGGTATCAGTTGCTATGTGAGGTTGTTTAATATGCATGTGGCACCCCCAGATCTATAAGCAGAGTCTATATTTCCCAGGTAAGCACCCCTGCACCTCCTGACAAGTGTAGCAATGTAGAAGGAGACAAGCAGATGGGCAATATGTAAGTAAGTTCCTTCGTACATCATCAGCCCTACACTTTACCATTCTCATGTAAACAAAGCCTGAGAATAAGAGCAAAAAGTTCTTCTGTGTGTTTCCAACACCAGGCCTATCAGGTATACTCAACTCTTAGCCTACCAATGGTTCTAAGAAAGCGTCAGATTTTCCTCTTCTGGGGCTCTCCAGAGTGTTGACCACACTCTACATTAATTACATAGAATCACTAACCAGGCAACCTCTGCCTGGGGCCCAGCCTATTTTTGATCCATAGACACAAACAGGTCCACACAAGCGAATCTGGGGCCAGAGAAAGTCTGCAGTATTGTAGCTTCCTAATTATTTCACATCTTTGGACCAAAGAACTTTCTCTCATGAAAGCAGTAAAAAAAAAAAAAAAAGCTAGGAAAATGATTTCTTTTCATTTAGTAACCCCAAATGAAACAATTCCTACAGTTACAATAATCCTTGTTTATATATATATATATATATATGAAGTGTTGCTAATGTAGGCATCATCAATTCAGCACAAAATGTCTTGCATGGGATATTTCTTGATGAACACATGTAGGGTTTTGCTCAAATGTGACTGTGGATTTTTTTTCTACTTCTCTGAATCAGAGATACAGGATGCTCAGACCCACACAGCAGATGAGTTTCAGCAGCTCAGGAAAATCAATACCAAACCTTATGGAAGCTTAAATAGAACTGGTTGCAGGCACAGCTGCTTAAATAGAAGACATCTGCTTCAGTCTTCAAGCGAGCAGTGATCAGCAGAATGAGGGTGTTCCAGCCTCCATGGGGTTCTAATTGCAAGGCCGGGGGTCCTGGGATCTCGTGCACTGATGTGAGTGACCCAGACCCCATCCCTGACACAGTCCCTGGCACATGGTAAGCTAAAAACAACTAACTGCTGAATGGGTAACAGCAATTTCGTTAGCTATTATTTATTACGGAAATCTAAAGTAGGTATTAGCACTGCTCTATCCCTCACGTAGTGGTTATATGACCTAGTGCACATCATTTAGACTCTTCCTCTATGGAAAGTTAGAGGAAAGTTAACATCTTTCAAGTTACATCACAACAACGTTGGGATGGGATATTGAGGTGAGACAACAATGGAAATCAATTTGTTCCAATTTGTAATAAAAATCTCTTTCTTCCTTCAATGTTCATGAGGGTGGGTGTGGGGGTGGGAAGGGTCCTTGCATTTCCCCATCAGAATGTTTATCATTCTGGACCGTAATCACCCACGTCCTTGTTTGTCTTCCCTGCTGGAGTCTTGCTCCATGGGAGTGGGAACATGGCTGTCTTGGTCTCCTCTGTCTTCCAAACATCTAGAACAGTGCATGGTACTCAGTGCGTGTCCGATACCATTTGTGGAAGGTGGAAGGAAATGGCTTTATCCCCATCCCTGATGTGCGAGTCCTCCCTGCTTTGCCAGGCTGCTTGTTGAGTCTCCTTTTTTAAATTTAATGACACAAGGAACAATGGAGTCTCCTTCCAAATACATATCTTAGGGTGGCACTCTCTGGTGGATCCAGCAGATTGAATACCTGGGCCCTCGGTACTGTTTATCAAACCAGGGATTATCACCCCCCTGGAGCTGCAGGGAAGTTAGAAGGATAATGGAGAACATAACTCAAGGACACCAAATAACTTCTTATTCCTACTGGTTATACTAGCCTAGGGTCTTGCGCCTCCCTCGAAGTACTTTAACTTTCAGTCAATGACTCACTTCTCTCTCAATACAAAGGAAAAGCGATATTCTTTTTTCATCGATCCTTCTGATATTTGGGGGGTGGTGACAGATTGAAAACCTTCTAAGTACTCCTTCTTTTGAGAATTCAGACATTTATAGCTCTCATAAAAGAAATTTGAGCGAAGACTCTTATAGACCCATGTTGGAATAGCAGGTGCTGAGCGTCAGCAAGATAGCACGAACACGATGATGTATATGCATTTGGGTGCCGAAGTGGACTGCAGTGTGGACAGAGGCGTTAGAAGAATCCGGGAGACCAGGATGTAAACGCTCAGTTCTTGTCAACGCAGGTGTGGGTTCCGGGTCTGAGACACCAATCACCTTACAAGGGGTACCACAAAAGCCGACCCCACCCAGTAAAACAACACTCTATAGCCATCTGGAATCCAGACCCAGCTTCGTACGTGGGCGCCGAATCACCAGGCTGCTTGTTGAAGGGTAAAAAGGGCAAGTTCATGAAGCACTTAACATTTCCTCAAAAGGAGTCTAGGAGTCTAGGTCAGGATTCCAGCCTAGCTCTGCCACTTACCAACTATATTACCTTGGGAAAGTTACATAGCCCAGTGGAAATCAAACTGTTTCCTCATTTGCAAAAACCAGACGACAAATACAGGACTTACCTTGAGAAGGTTTGTAAAGATTAAATTAGATACCTGCAAGAAAAGCCCCCAGACTTATTTATAGATTTGCATTTTACCTTTTAGCCGTGGCACAATATCTTCCTTTCCTGCATAAGGGTCGCAGCGAAAGCGGTCCAGTTGGTCGATGGTGCACTGGCCAACCACGGGCTTCCGCCCAAACTGCCTATGATCGATGACCTTGATCACCAGCGGAGGCATGTACAACTCCTCCTTGGGCAGTAGCTGGGGGTCACAGAGGGAGGCATCATTTCTCTTTCTTTACAAGGACAGCTTTGCCAAAAATTCACCCAAGGGTTCATTTTGCCAAGTAGCCCAGGGGACTCACAATAATTAGTTGGGCCATTTATGTGCCAGGCAAGCAGCTTAGAGCTTAAGAGTATGAGCTCTCAGCCTGAATGCCTGGGATCAAATCCTGTCTCTGCCAACATGCACCGCATCACTTTAGGGAATTTTTCTACCCCCTCCCCATGCCCCAGTTAACTCATCAGTAATAGCAGGGTTATTGAATTACTATATGTGAAGTGCATGGAATAGTACCCGGCCCATGGAAGGGCCCTGTGTTAGTTAACATGATATGGAACCAGCATGCTTTACTGCTGATCTGCACTCTGCTTCCCGAGAGGGGATTTGCACTGGCCAGAGAATCCAGGACTTTGGTAATCTAGTAGCCAAGTCCTGAGCAGAATTTTAAAATGGTCAAAAGACAACTGAACCTCCAAGGGAAATATCTGTGGCTGGGCGTCTTTTAACCCTGGGAGTTCAGTGCCAAAATGGCATGCTAATTTTTCTTCAACTCCTCCTGGTTCCTCCATGTGGATTTGGCAGCCTTAGTGACATTGCCTGATTGGGTAATCATGGGCTGACCCAGGGGCTTGCTGAGTATGTGGCTCCGGTGAATTCTGTCTCTGGCCTTGCATAGTTGAATTCTGTCTCTGGCCTTGCATAGGAATAGGAGCTGGGATCGACTGAGTGGCTTCCCTCACCCCTACTGACCAATGTTAGCTTCCAGACCAGAATTGGAAGGTGGGGGAAGGGTGGATAGAGGAGAAGGATGGGTGGAGTGGCCCAGGGGCAGCACTCTGGGATTCTGGCTGGGAGCATGCAGGTGGCCCTCCATCTGTGGCATGATAGGGAGGAGAGCTTGGGCTTTGAAGTTGGAGGGATCTTTGTCCAAACCCTGACCACCCATTTGCTGGCTGTGTTCCCTTGTGTAAATTAGTTAACCTCTTGGCTTCCCTCAAGGTGGGCATAAGGGAGGTGAAAATGCCCACCTTGCAGGGTTGAAGACCAAGTGCACAGAGCATGAATGCATCTAGCACTGAGCTACAGCTGCTGTTGTATTAATAGATGGGACACAGTGACTGCAGATTAGGAGGCGTGGCCTAACATCCACAGTGAGGTTGGACCAGTTGCTTCCCCTCTGCATTTCCTCATCTGTAAAACGAGGTTGAACCACATGATCCCAGAGTCCAAGAGCAGTGTGTGGGCAACATCAAGGGCAGGAAATGACTAGGGTGAGGGATGGGAAGGTTCTAGGCCTTCTAATCCTTGAAGCTAAGGAAATGCCTTTATTTTTACTTCTTTTATATAATAGTAGAGTAAAAAACAAAGATTTTTTTAAAAAATTTGTAAAAGTTGTGAATTTAACTGCTTTAAAAATGGAAAGGCAGCCGGGCGAGGTGGCTCACGCCTGTAATCCTAGCACTCTGGGAGGCTGAAGCGGGCGGATCATTTGAGCTCAGGAGTTTGACACCAGCCTGAGCAAGAGTGAGACCCCCGTCTCTATTAAAAATAGAAATAAATTAATTGGCCAACTAAAAATATACAGAGAAAAAATTAGCCGGGCATGGTGGCGCATGCCTGTAGTCCCAGCTACTTGGGAGGCTGAGGCAGGAGGATGGCTTGAGTCCAGGAGTTTGAGGTTGCTGTGAGCTAGGCTGATGCCACGGCACTCACTCTAGCCTGGGTAACAGAGTGAGACTCAGTCTCCAAAAAAAGAAAAAAAAATGAAAAGGCTGAGTGACCTCTTCTGGCTGCAAGTATTACAGGGTCTATGACAGAGGACTGTGAACTCGACCCATTGCTCCCATATTTCTAATAGCCAGAGGGTGGCCTCGATGGAGCAAAGAAGGGGCCACCCCAGGGGTGCCTGGAGGTGGGGCACAGTCATGAGCTGTCAGGGCCATGGCCCCATCACCCCGCATGGGTTCCCCTGCAGCAGCCCCTCCCCAGCCAGCCAGCCCTTATCCAGAAGGTTCTGGTTCTGCATCCACAGGAAGTGCATCTGGTCCATGCACGACTAGTTCATATTCTGCCCTTGGGAGTTGACCAAAAGCCTCTAACAGTTGAGTAGATAGACAGTTTACTGGAGAAATAAATAAGTATTGCTGACAAATATTTCTGTGTCACTGGAGTCGTTTGGAGCTTTAAGAAACCATCACTACAGTGTGAGAATCTAAGGCAGAAAAGTCACTGACAAGCTGGATATAAGCAGGGTTTTTCTATTTGTCAGATTGTGGAAATAAATTGTGTGTGTGTGTGTGTGTGTGTGTGTGTGGGTGTGTGGGTGTGGGTGTGGGTGGTATATACATTCACATTTCAACACACGGGGACTATGACAGAACGCTGACACTGTACCACTTTCATGAAGAGAACAGAACTTGGAAAGTTGGGCGTCTTCTTCAGGTTTTTGATCACCACCGACTCCACCCTCTCCCCTCCACACTCCACGACAAGACTGGGGGATGTGATAGAGGCCATCTGGTAGTTTTTCATATTTCTTAAGCCCCAAGCTAGAATCTGAGAAAACAATTTAAAGAGAGGAGAAGGAAACCCAGCATATGAAAAACAATATTTAAAAGGAAAAATTCTGTCTCAAAAACTGGCAAAGTCTTTAGGATTAATTTGTGCAGATCTGCCTAGAATATCTTTGAACATTATCCTAGCAAGCCTGTAGGTCACGCAAGGAGAGTGGTTTTGCCCCTTCCCTTCTCCGGCCCGAGCTGCTAAAAAAAAGCAGGGTTGGTAAGAGTGTGGGAATGACGTCCTGGCTGTCACAGCTGGGTGAACGCTGATAAGTTGAATTACCTCTCTCTGTCTTATCTATAAGAAGAGTCTGAGCATCTCCCATAGCGTTATTCCCAGGGTCAAGTGTAAACCTAGCATGGCGTCTGACCCACATGCATTCAGAAAGGGTAGTTGTTTAAAACCCCCTGCCTCAGTCTTTGAGAACTCTTAGCAAGACAGCCAGAGAAGGGAAATCTTGGGGTAACAGCTGCTTGACTGGACAGGGGGAAGCCCCCGGAGCAGGCCAGGCACTGTCCCTCGAGCCACCTGGTTAGTGCCATCTGCAGGCGTTGTATCGAGTGCCGCCATTGCCCACAGCTCCCTCCCAACACCTGCCTCTGCACACACCACTCCCTGCTGGCCTGTCTTCCCCTCCCCGGTTCTACGGCTGACCTGAAAAACTCAGAACTCTGCTGGCTCCCAGCAAACGAGGACTTTAGATTTCCTCGGGAACACTGAGATGAACTCTCCTTGTTGCCCCAATAAGCCTTCTATTTCTATGAATATCTCAAGTGTTCAGACAAAGTCTAAAGGAAGTTGGAGACAGCAAGAAAATATGAGGCACGATTCCATTCCCTATACGAGAGACTCCTGCTCTGTCCTGTTCCCTAGTCACACGTGTCCGATCTGATCAATAAAACGCAGGGAGCAGCTTACCTCGATAGCAGTGAGCTGAACCACGGGTCTGATCCCCTGGGGGACCATGTACAGATTCGGTGCCCTTTGAGAGGGAAGAATGGGGAGGTTGGAGCCATCCTGTGAAATAAACACGGCAATGTCAATGCTGCCTTTAGTTCCAGCAAACGGTGCCTAGAATTAGGAGCAGCCGTTGTAAGCAGCTGTGGGAACGCATGAGTGGGAACACGGCAGTGTACCTTGTGCCTCAGGATCAGCTCTGCGGTGACAAGGACATCCCCACAGGCCCTGTCTCCGTTCCTTACTGGGTACCAGAGGAGTTTGGGCGTGATGTCCATTTCCGAGTGTAGTTTCACCAGAGGAGAGAAAATGCTTCGTCCTAAAAATTCATCTTTGCCCTAGAAAAATAGGAGATCCTTAAATCCCCCCCAAAACATCCCTTCAAATCTCCATCATTCCCCCAAGTCATTTCAGAAATTCTAAATTACCTACCACTTGGTCGTTGTCAAAAAGTTCCACGACAACTTTGGGTGGGTTCTGAAGGACAGCTTGCGGTTCTCCATAGATTTCAATTTCATCAAATATAATTGTTTGGTCCCATGTGGGATTCAGGGTGGAGTGGATGATCTCCGTGGTTTTGCTTCGATGGAGGAAGGAGACGTGAGCGTATGGATCTGAAACAGAAAAAAAGGAATAACAGTGGGGCCATGGCTAAAGTCTAGCTCCCCAGAATCACTCGTTGCAATAGCTTCTTTTCCTCTGGACACAGAGATCGTGGACTCTCCTCATCTACCTGGAGACAGGGTTTCTAGAAGCAGGTGTGCTGAGGCAGCTCTGGCACTGCAGCAGAGAGACCCAAAATGAGGCCCTGATGTGTACTGAGGGCTCGCTCTTTGGAGCGTGTCCCCATCAAGGTTAATTAGGCACACGGTCTTTTTCTGCAAGGGTACTGCACTCGTGGTTGAATGCAGGCTCTGCAGTCACACGCACTTGCGTTCCAACCCCTCTTCACCCCTGCTACATGACTTTGGGGAAAAATGCTCAATCTTCCCTCCTCCACCCAGTGAAAGTAATATCTGCTTCATGGTATTGATAGGATGAAATGATATGAAGAATGTGAACCACTTAGGACAGAGACCATCATATAGGGAGTATTTGATAAATGCTAGTTATTAATATTGTCCCTTTTTTTTTTTTTTTTTTTGAGACAGAGTCTCACTTTGTTGCCCAGGCTAGAGTGAGTGCCGTGGCGTCAGCCTAGCTCACAGCAACCTCAAACTCCTGGGCTCAAGCAATCCTGCTGCCTCAGCTTCCCGAGTAGCTGGGACTACAGGCATGCGCCAGCTAATTTTTTCTATATATATTAGTTGGCCAATTAATTTCTTTCTATTTATAGTAGAGACGGGGTCTCGCTCTTGCTCAGCCTGGTTTCAAACTCCTGACCTTGAGTGATCCACCCACCTCAGCCTCCCAGAGTGCTAGGATTACAGGCGTGAGCCACCACACCTGGCCTAACATTGTTTGTAATGTCGATGATAATCCATTCATTCAGCAAATACTTATTGAGTGTCAGGTCTCCAAAGTACAGTTGTACCAGGAAAGGTTCAGATGCTCATAGAGTTTACAGTCTGAGCATTGTAAAAGCAGAAAACTTTGTTTCACCATATTGAGAATGAACTAAATGCAATTTTATATATTATGAAATAATCAATGTTTTCCTTCATGTTAAATAATTTCATCAAACCTTTTGCAGTTACCTGGGGGCTGACTTATCTAAGCAATAACTTAATGTCTAACCTGAAATTTTTGCATAAGACCAAAGGATGCTTGGTTTTATGGCAGTATAACAGTGTCATATAAATGGAACTCTTTGCCTTTGCCCCGTGATAGATCTTGTATCTCAAACTGCAAAGAATGCGCTTAGAGATTTTGGAACCTTTTAGTCAAGTAATTTGGAAAGGATTCTTTGACTTTCGGTGATGGAGTGCCCCCTGGTGGAGATTATTTGAAAATGTCTTCTAAAACACTTTGGAGATGTGGATTATAGGGGATCGCCTAATTTGTAAGAAAAAGTAAAACCATTCACAAATATTGGTTAACATTAGCACTTGGAACGTGCTTCACAATTGGTGCAAATGTGCCAGAGTGTCAGGAAAATGCCTTAAGGCTGTTTCCATAGGAGGCCCAGGGACGCTCTGCTGGGCGTCAGCAATGCTCCCCAATAGCATGCTCCCTAAGGATGGCTCCTGAACAACCCGCACTTCCCCCAGCAAGGACTCAAGTCCCAGGGCGGAAGTTCCCTGTGCTTCCCCTCCCCTGCCAACAGCCTTTCCCTCAGACCCAGTCCAAAGGCAACAAAAGCAGCCAGGGTGTCAGCCCCAAGGGTGATAATGCCCTGGGTTTCACAGTATTGGGAATTTGAGGAGCAGGCTTCAGAGGAGGCCCAGATGGACTCCAGACTGCCAAGGCCTGGTGCTGTAGGCAAAAGGGTGAACTGGTGTGATCTTTTTGTTACCTTAAGAGAAGTATAAAAATATTAATTATATCTTACCAACGCAAGGGCCCAGGAATAAAAATACAATCAAGTGTATAAATAGAGATCAGAAATCGCTCTTCTTGCTGGTTTTTATTACTTAATTTATTAATCCTTATGAGTATCAAAAGACCACGGATCTTCTATGTGTCTCTAGCACCCAGCAACTGTGCCCAAAGCACTCAGTAATTATTTATCTAAGGACTAAGCATTTTGCTTCAAGCATATCAAACCCATCTCAACATGAAAAGAGTTTTTGTTGTTAGAAATGACAAAAAGCATCCACTTGATGAGAAGCAGAATCAAGACAGACCACTATATAGTAACGTGTGGCATATTTTTAACTTTACCTGAAAAGCTATCTTTGTCTAAAGCCATGAGGTTTCTGGCTTGATAGATATAGCAACGCAGATGGTAGATGTAGACTCCTAAAAATAAAAAACCAGGATGGAGATTACTTACAAGAAATATAACACTACGAACTGCTATATTTCTGGAATATTTGGAGATGATACAATTTTAAGATGTATTATGGATCACCCCAATCCAGTTCCTCACAGTAAAAAGCACATATAATAATGACAATGTGTCCTCCCAAAGTAGTTCTGTTTCCTGTAAAATAAAACCTATTTTTAAAACATGCTATAGTGAGCAAATGCCACTGTGTCAATCAGGAGAGCATTACTCCTGTCGTAAACTACCTGGATGTAAGGTACTGCTTGTCATCACAGATACTTAAAATGCAACTTGGTCTCCAGCAGTTATAGAAATTGGGCTTTCTATACTCCTTCAACACCAGATCTGGGAAAGTTATCTGCTAAAAGTTTCTTTGATATTTCAAAATCTTCATACTCTTTCTCTTTATCATTATATTAACGCAAACACACACACTTTGAGAGACAGTGGAGCACTGTGATTCAGTGCATAGATTGTGGGAGCTTGACTACTTCAGTTCAAATCTTCTCTTTATTGCTTACCAGCTACAAAACCATGGGCAAGTCATGTCATCTTCCTGTAACTTGGTTCCCTCATCTGTAAAATGGGAACAATATCATCTACCTTACAGGGTTGTTATGAGGATCAAACAAGCTACTATGCGTACAGTTTCTGGTACGTGCTAAGACCTACACAAGTATTTGCTACTATTACAGAGAAGGCCTATCTCATTCCAAAATCCCAGAAGGTTATCATTGAAACCAAGCTTGATTTATATTTGAGCCTTTTTTTCCTAATTAAAATAATAGTTTGGGGGGCTTACTAGACAGAATGAGTACATATTAGACAGGCTATGTTAAAATCAGTGATTTGATCATTCTTCATTCCATATATGATACAGTTTTTAAAACTGTATTTAAAAAAAAACCCTCTCTTCTTCAAGTGATGAAAATGAAATTCAGGTTTGCATGAAGAGATTCAAAGAAATTTCTTAAAATATAAGTTATAGAAGCGGAATTCACAAAGTTGTGTTTAAAACTCACTGTCGAAGTCGCAAGAAACAATGGGAGTGTTTGCTCCAAACACAGTGGTGGCGCTGTGCTTATGTTTCTCCCCACTCTTGTCATCTCCATCCTCCGTTGTGTCTGCCCCCTAAAGTAGCAGGCAGAAAAGTCAATGAACACTGCCTAACAACAATCAAGAGCCAAGAATCACAAACAAATGGAATGGTGGCTTCTACAAGATTTAATTGTCCAATCGCACCATTTTTAAAGATGAATGAGGCCCAGTGACTTCCCCAAAGTTGCTTAGCTGGACAGCAGCAGAGAACCAGCCCTCCTACCTCGAACCAGGTTTGCCAAACCCTGCTGCTGAAAGAAAGGGGGAAAAAAGGAAAAATGTAGAGGATAAATAAGTGGACTAGAAGGATGAGTGGAGGAAGAAGAGAAATAGCAGGAGCCGAGGAATACAGTGAGGTCAGAGTGCAGAAATACAAAAATAGGCTGTGTTTGGAAGTGGCTCCTGACCACCATATTGGATTAGATACCCGCCCACTGCCATTTTCTTATTCTTTCCTTCCACCTGCCTGCTTTTTTCCCTCCCTGTCTTCTTTAAAATTGTGCCTCCATATGAATTGTCCTCTAATTTTGTGAGCCATCCCTTGGATTTCCTCCCACTCACATCTGTATATTTAACTTTTTTGGTTTGTTGAACAGTTGAAGCTTCCAAGCATGATCCAAGGAGCCTGTGCCCGGGTTGTTAATAGATGTCACCTGAAACAGGTGTATCTGGAAAATGTTGGGTGCAACAGGTGTGTGTCTGCAGTAGTATTTCTTAGAATTTTTCTAGTGTTAATGGTGTATTTATTCCATAAGAATTGTTGAGCACCTAGGATGTGTAACTTTCCCTCAACCTGCTTGCAGTCTTATAGTAGTGGGGACACGGGGACCTCTATGGAGTCAGCAGTGTTGTGTCCACCACTCAGATAGTTCCTCTATACCAGTATTATTTGCACTTTGGCTACTTGTTACTTACAAGGGCACCTTCAAGTTTAAAGATGGCAGCCGCACCGTGTGTTTCTGAAGGAGCCATTTTTCTCCTCCAGCGTCTGCGGCGAAAGGTATCTGAACTACGCTGTTTCCAGTGAAATTTCCAGCCAATTAAAGAAGCATATTCCCAGCCCTCCCGGTCTTCAAATTCTTCCATGGCCTAAAACAGAAGTAAAAATGTTAATGATAATAGCAATAGTCCTTATATGGATAAAAACAGGTCATTTGGTCAACCAGCAGACAGGTAGTATTAAAATCTACTCTGCACTGTGCTAGAACCAGGCATGTGGCAAAGAAAAAATAGACCAGATAGGCCCCCTTAATGTTTTGAAATTTAAAAAGAAAGAAAGAAAGAAAGAAAGAAAGAAAGAAAGAAAGAAAGAAAGAAAGAAAGAAAGAAAGAAAGAAAGAAAAACAAAAGCAGACGGGATCTCTGCCCTTGCAGAGCCGGAGTGCGGACAGAGGGAGAGCGCCAGGCAACCGCAGCACAGAGATGCCGGCGTGTGGTGGCACACCCTCAGCAAAGGCGTCTTATTCACACTTGGGGGTGGGATGGATTACTGGATTCCTTCTCAGATTGCTTTCTGTTTCCTCACTTCCTTAGCTCATAAGAACGTTGCTATTGTGGTGCAGTTTGGAAAACATTATTGTCTTCATTTTATATATGGAGGAAAAAATGATAGAACCCTGTGGCGCCCGCCTCGCCAGCAAGGAAGACGCGGCAACAGGAGTTCTTCTGACAGTGCTTTAATGGGGTTCCCTTTAGACTTACATGATGCGGAAGACCCAGCCCGGCAGCGTGCAGGCCGCTATATACCCCAGAAGTACAACCCCTAAGCTGCGATAGGCCGCTCAGCTGTCGAGCCACCAAAGCATTAGTCCATATCAGGACCCTTTGTTTGCATTCTCGCGCCACAGGGCAACCGACAATTGTGCGTGCGCTGAACTTGTTAGCTGCTCTAGGCAAAGCCGGAAACAGGCGCCAACTTGTAATGGCGTTGACACCGCGCCCCACAGAACCCCCCCCCTCGGGTTTAAATGTCTTGCTAAGCTAATAGCTTGCCATAACTAATAATTAAATGAATAGATCAGAGTATATTACTTCTGTAATAACTAATAACTTTTCAGCTTAAAAACTATTGATATACAAATGATCTCAGTTTTCTTTTCTTTTCTTTTCTTTTTTTTTTTGAGACAGAGTCTGAATCTGTTGCCCAGGCTAGAATGCCGTGGCGTCAGCCTAGCTCACAGCAACCTCAAACTCCTGGGCTCAAGCGATCCTTCTGCCTCAGCCTCCCGAGTAGCTGGGACTACAGGCATGTGCCACCATGCCTGGTTAATTTTTTCTATATATTTTTAGTTGGCAGATTAATTTCTTTTTATTTTTAGTAGAGACGGGGTTTCGCTCTTGCTCAGGCTGGTTTCGAACTCCTGACCTTGAGTGATCCACCCGCTTGGGCCTCCCAGAGAGCTAGGATTACAGGCGTGAGCCACCACGCCTGGCCTGATCTCAGTTTTCAATGTTATAATATTTCTGTTCACTCAACAAGTATGAGTGCCCAGCTATGTGACAGGGATCGGGTTAAGGGCAGAGGATACAGTGAAGAAAAAGGCAGACAAGGTTTTTGCTATCATGTAGCTGACAGTTTAGTGGCAGAAATTTTATTTAAATATCTTAAAAGTATGACTGACTGGATTTAATAAATGTAAAATAATACTGAATAATATTTAGGATCTTAGAAATAAGAGCGGATAATTATTATCGTTGGGTCAATTTTTTTTTCACTTTGAATAAATGTAAAATGCAGGTTAACCTCAATCTTGGAACCGACCCTCTAGTAATGTTGACAGTGGCAATGAACTGTTTCGCGTAGCCAAGAGTAAGGCAGGTTAGGGACATGATCAAAGTCTCAGAAACACTCATTGGTAGAGCTGGGCTGCTTCTCGAGTCTTCTGACCGATGGCTCAGTGTTCTTCCCACTTCACCTTGGTGCTCTTGTGTGGAAGGAGAGGGTCAGGCCCCTCTAGAAACTTCTCACCCCATTAGGATGGGATAACTCAATAATAAATACTCTTTCATTCATCAGCTCATTCATGCTACTGTTAAATATATTAACTATTAGGAGCACTTTCCTGAGTTAGCAAGGAAGATACAAAAATGATTATCGCTCTATTTTTGCTCCCAAAAGCTGACTAATAAAAATAACTTCATAGCACATAATAGAGTTAGTAATTTTGTGGACTAGAAAGAGTTCCTGGCCAGGCTGGTGGCTCTTGCCTGTAATCCTAGCACTCTGGGAGGCTGAGGCGGGAGGATCGCTCAAGGTCAGGATTTCGAGACCAGCCTGAGCAAGAGCAAGACCCCATCTCTACTAAAAATAGAAAGAAATTAATTGGCCAACTAAAAATATATAGGAAAAAAAATTAGCCGGGCATAGTGGCACATGCTTGTAGTCTCAGCTACTTGGGAAGCTGAGGCAGAAGGATCGCTTGAGCCCAGGAGTTTGAGGTTGCTGTGAGCTAGGCTGACGCCATGGCACTCTAGCCCAGGCAACAGAGTGAGACTCTGTCTCAAAAAAAAAAATAGAAAGAGTTCCCATTTAGAATTAGCCTGGCCTGGGTTCAAACCCCAACTCTGTCACTCACTAGACATAGGGCCTAGAGCAAGTCTTTTTAAGCTCTGTGAGCGTTATCCATAAAATATACATAAAATCTAGACTTTAAAGATTGTAGATGAGGCATATTCAGTACCTGTCATTATAGAAGGACATTTCTACACATGCCACTTACTATTATTCTATTTAATTTATTATTATTCCATTTAATCCCTAATTAGATAGGTATAGATATTATTCCCATTTTGCAAATGAGAAAGGAAGTGAAGTTGGGATTTGAATCCTTACATATCTTGTTCCAAGTCCTGAGCTATTACACTACCATATTATGCTGCTAAAATAATTTCAGTTTCTTTAACAGCTCGGTTTTCAACATTTTGTCTCCAGATCACCTGGAAGGATTGTTGAACTACAGATTGCTGGGTCCTTCCCCAGAGTTTTCAAATCGCTAGGTTTGGGATGAGAGATTTCTAACGAATTCCCAGGTGAAGCATTGCTGTTGGGGTGGGCAACTTTGAGAACCCTTGAGTGCAGCATTAAGCCCTGGATTTGCAAATGGCTTCTGCAGAAAGTTCTAGTTAACTGGAGCTCTGTGTGGTCTGGAAGGCAGAGCTCCCCAGTCCAGCTCCCTTCCCCTCTTCTCCTACCTTTGCAGTACTCGAAGCCGTCTGTGTTAAATCCTTCTTGCGTTTCCGGACCAGCCTTCGCCGCCTATGAGTGTGATACATTTTCTCTGCTGCAACCCAGGACTTGGGCTTATTATCAGGAGGAATGGTAATTCCATACTCCCAGCCTGGAACAGAGTTTGTGAACGGTTACCCGAAAGAGATGCATTTGCCAGATCGCCAAATAAACCTCCAAGAAATCGTCACTCTCACTGCCCCCAGCTGTCCTCTGCTGTCATGACTGCATGCAGGGCTCCTTTCAGTTTGCTGAGATTCTGCCAAACTGAATACAGCCTCATTCCCTGGCTCCCTCCTCAAAAAACTCCCTTTGTGCTGTGGAGTTGTCCTTCATTTTTTATGCCTCTAGTCATTCTAGGTAATTCAGCGCATCTAAGAATAAAACAGTTCAAGAGGCAGAAGGAGACAGTGGGAAGGCTGTTGGCCATGTAGTCACACAATCTGGGTTCAAATCCTAACACTACCAGGTGCTGACTGTCTATGAAATAAGTTTCCCGCAAATTGGTAACCTAGCTAAGGCCTAATTTCCCCATTATAAAGGCAAAATACATCTTTTTATAGGGTTACAGTATTTTAACACAAAATAATGTATGCAAAGCATGAGGGCGATACTTAGCACATAGTTATTGCTCAACTGATGCTAACAATTATTCTACGACCTGCTGTGTGCATCAAGATCAGCAAGGAACTTGATTTGAAATCTTCAATATCAATGTTAGTTCTTTCTATGCACTGTTCCTTCTTATAAGGAAAAAAAATCAAATTTTCTTGATTCAAATCTTGACTTTAGATTACTATTCATGAAAAAGATCTACACCACTACCAGAAGCTATGTTGATAATCAGCATAGGGGGACTTTTAAGGTATTTTACAGTTCTCCTTTCTGAGCTTGGGGGCCCCTGAGTGGGATGTTCCCAGGGAGATTATGGGGTATGGTTAGAATAGAGAAAACCCAAACTCCAGCTGCCTCCTGAATGCCCATCCTGGATCCCCAAGTATCTCAAAGCCCAGCCAGTTGGCCCCCATCACTGGATATTTTTCTTTTTTTTAAGCAACAAGTCCACTCAGACAAGCATACTTTTCACTCTTAACATCCCCCCAACCCAGCACCTGTCCAAGCACTTGCTCGTCCCTCCGATTCTACATTTGAATAGTCACAGAAAGCACCCCATGGCCTGAGCGCCACAGACTAGCACAGGTAAAACCCCTCCCTCCCTCCCAAAGAACCTTTATTATTCTGGTTAACCAAGGCCCTGCTGCCCAGCCCCTGGTCAGGTAATAGATGTGAAGTGTCACCTTTCTCATCCACTGCTCGATTGATGTCGTACGCCCACGCGTCATCTTCCCATTCCCAACCTGGAGGACAAGTCAGCTCGCTGGGTGATGCTGCTTTATCACCGTTCTTTAAAAACAAAAAACAAAAGAACAAAAACAAAGAAGAGACATAAGCCGCAATGTCAGCAAGATGAAAAGAGTGAGATACGTACAGTTCCTCTCACTTAACTACAGTATCCACATGTTTACTTAGCTACCACCTTACAGATCCATTTTACTCAAGAACAATCTCTAACCTTTATTTATTTATTTAAGTTTTTTTTTGAGGCAGAGTCTCACTTTGTTGCCCAGGCTAGAGTGAGTGCCGTGGCGTCAGCCTGGCTCACAGCAACCTCAAACTCCTGGGCTCAAGCAATCCTCCTGCCTCAGCCTCCCGAGTAGCTGGGACTACAGGCATGCACCACCATGCCCGGCTAATTATATATATATATTAGTTGGCCAATTAATTTCTTTCTATTTATAGTAGAGATGGAGTCTCACTCTTGCTCAGGCTGGTTTCGAACTCCTGACCTCGAGCAATCCACCCGCCTGGGCCTCCCAGAGAGCTAGGATTATAGGCGTGAGCCACCTCACCTGGCCTTCTACCCTTTATTTATGCACAATTGCTGCATAAAAATTGTTTAAACTCCCTTCTGTTTTTCTATTAGGGAATAGCATTAGGTTGCACCATGTAAAATTGCTGTCTTTGTAAGTCAAAGTGGCAGGATCTCAGTAGTTTCATGTGGTTCAACTCGATATTATAAAATGCTGCAATGACCTTTATGAGGGATTATCTAGAAAAGAACCCATTAGAGAATGGATAAAACATTAAAGACGTGTTTTCGAGTACAGGGAAATGCTACTGGAGGCTCATGATGTTAGTCACACAAGATTCAGCAAAGATTATGAAATATTGGCCCGGCGTGGTGGCTCACGCCTGTAATCCTAGCACTCTGGGAGGCCCCGGCGGGCGGATTGCTTGAGGTCAGGAGTTCAAAACCAGCCTGAGCAAGAGTGAGACCCTGTCTCTACTATAAATAGAAAAAAATTAATTGGCCAACTAATATATATATATATATAATTAGCCGGGCATGGTGGCGCATGCCTGTAGTCCCAGCTACTCAGGAGGCTGAGGCAGCAGGATTGCTTGAGCCCAGGAGTTTGAGGTTGCTGTGAGCTAGGCTGACGCCACGGCACTCACTCTAGCCTGGGCAACAAAGTGAGACTCTGTCTCTTTTTCAAAAAAAAGATTATGAAATATTGACTTAAGTTTGCATAAAATTGATAGAGTTGAGAAAAGAAAATTCATAAGTAAAGGAATTAAAGGTAGCCCATAAACATGTGGAAAAACACTCAGCTGCACTTTAAATTAAGAGAGTGAAAATTGAAATAGCAATGGGATACCACTTATCCATGTATTGGCAAAGATGATACAGTGGGATGGTGAGTGTTTAGGCAAACAGCCTTCTCTTATGCCGTTGCTAGAAATACAAATTTTCAAACCTCTTTGAAAAGCAAATTGGTAGTATTTATCAAAACGTTATATATATTTAAAACTCAGCCAAGCAAATCCAAGGATCTTTCCTACAGATAAACTTTTATAAGCAAATAAAAATGTATATATGTTGCATTGTTTATAAAAATCAAAGACAAGCAAAAAAAGCTCCTAAATGTCCATGAAGAGGGGATTAATTAAATAAGTAAAGTAGGTGCATATAATAAAACATTCTCCAGTTCTCCAGGTTTTTGGAGAGACAAGGTCTCACTCTGTTGCCCAGACTGGAGTGCAGTGGTCTGCTCCTACATCAATTGTAACTTCAAATTCCTGGGCTCAAGCAATTCTCCTGTTTCAGCCTCCCGAGTAGCTAGGACTATACGAGTGCACTATCATGCCTGGCCAGTTTTTAAGTTTTTTGCAGAGACAGGCTCTCACTATGTTGCCCAGGCTGATCTCAAACTCTTGGCCCCAAGCAATCCTCTGGCCTCAGCTTCCTAAAGTGCTGGGAACACAGGTGTGAGCCATGGTGCCTGGCTCCAGGCACTTTTAAAAAACACTCATAGATCTATATCCACTGATATCAAAATATGTCCACAATATGTTATTATGTGAAAAACACAAGCTGTAGAACTCTATGTACAACACAATTCTATTTAGGCAGGGAAAAAAGAAGTTATATACCTGCTATCAATGGCTATCTTTGGGTAGTAGAATACAGATCAGGGGAAGAATTATTTTTCATTTCCTTTCACACTGTTTGGATTTTTAGAAGACAGGAACATCTCATTTGTTAAGATTTTTAAAACTAGTTAAATAATAAATACAGATTTACCCTAAAAAATTCACATGACCCAGACTCTACCATGTACCAACATCTGGTGAAAGGGGCCTTATTTCTATTCCATAGAAAGCAACTGTCTTGGTATTTGTGTGGCTTCAGTTATGAGAGGAAGACTGTTCGGAACAGAAGACGGAGCAGAGAGAGGGTGAAGCCCAGCCTGGTGGGTTCCCAGCAGACCATGAATCAGGGGCTCGGGGGAGGGTTTCTCTCCTGCGCAGGCTGCTCACCGCATCGGTGTAGGTGTCCTCTGCAGGCTTCCACTCGCCCCCGGGGTAGCGGCTCTCGTTCTGGTACACTTCATCAGTGAACTCCGTGTGACCCGCGTCCGCCTCGGTCAGCAAGCTGCAGAAACAGCCCCGCAGCCCCGCTCACTGCCAATGGCCGGGCAGCAGCCGCGCCCTGGGAGTGGCACCAGCCCCTCCTCGCCCTACCGCTCTTGCTACCACACTCCAAACTCCCCTTTGTACTAATCGCTTCAGACAGTCCTTTGAAGCAAGGGCCTGCTGGAACCATGAGACCTAAATTATAGAGGACCCCTTGAATTAGCGAGGTTGCTCCTTCTCGGTAATTAGGGTGGGGACTGGGAAAACAGTGTTGTGGGCAGCTTCTTCTAGGGACCGTGTCTCTGTTTCAGTGCAGGGCTGTTCAGCTTTCTCGCAGCTTGGCTTACAGATCAGAAGAACAGGGAGTCGTCCCCCACATGGCCCCTGTTTTTGCAAATGGAGTGGAGACAGTCTCGTGAAGCCAAGTGTGGAAACGTTTACTCAAGGCTTGCTAGGCCTACGTAATGCAGATGGAAGGGAGGAGTTTACATTTTCTGGGTAGTTCTTAGCCAGACAGCCAAACCAGGTCATTTAAGACTCCAGACTCCATTTGGGCACTTGAGAAATCCATACTAACTCTGTGCCATGACAATTTTCCTCTCGGATTTGGAACTATTTTGACAGCTCATAGAGGAAAGCACCGAGGTTCCAACTTAGACTCAAGTCTTCTGCCAGGCACCCACTCAAATGAGGGTTCTTTTCCCTTTACTGTCTCTGCATCTTTCCCCGCCGTCCCCTCCCCTAGAATCAAGCACTGGAAAGGAATCAAAACACAAAGAGTCCCAACCACTTGTCTAACTCGGGTCCGTCCATCACTTCTCTGGGCCCCAGAAAAGGAGAAGAAGGGCCCTGGCTGCTGCCTCCAGCCTCCCATCCAGCCAGGGCACGCTCAGCCTTCTGCTTTCTCCATCACGATTCCCCCTACTCCTCCCCCATCCTCACTAACCTTCCTTCTCTCTGTCCAATGCAAATCTCATTTTTCTTCTCCCCACCCATCTACCCCAAGTCCATTCAAAGCTTCCCGAGTTGAGAGCAATCGTGTGCAGGCCTTGGACCTTCACAGGCCTGTGTCTCACTCCCACCACCCTCCAACCCCCGATGCCTTTGTGGGCACAGGAAACAAACAACAGAGAGCCCAAAATCTGGTCGGAGGCATTAAGATCCCACTTCACAAGCTTGTTTTCCCCAAACTCAAATGTGCGGTCATGAGGCAGCAAGAAGACGGAGCGCTAGCTCTAATGCTGTTGGCGACATCTAGAAGCCAGGCTTTAGTGTGCCCTGGACTGCAGGAGAAGCACGCTTTCCCTCTACTGTTTAGTTTCTCTTTCTTTTTAATAACAGCTTCTGAGATATAATTCACATACTATGCAATTCACTCATTTAAAGTGTACCTTCTAGTGCTTCTTGCAAGGCATTTCAGTACAATAGTCGAATGCTGGTTTGGGTGCCCGGCTAGACTCAGATTCTACCCCAGCTTTACTGCTTACAGGCTGTGACCCTTTGGACAAGTTACTTAACCTCTCAGATCTCAGCTTCCTTGTTGGCACAGTGGAGATGCTACTACTTCTTGGCGGGAGATCATTCTCTGTGAGTCTCTTGCATTTCTGCACATCTTGCCAGCTAAGGCACTGACTACCTATGTTACGGACTATCTTTGCAAGAAATTTACATGGCGGACAGTTTTGGAAGACCGAGATGGTCTCGCTCTGGAGCGAAGGGCCAGCCTGCTTACTGCCCACTGTAAAACATTTGGGTTCCCTCAGCTCAGGGCTCCTCTCTTGCAACTCAACCCACTGCCCGTTTAAGTGTCATCTGGCCCTCTACATGTCACCCTGTGGGAACTGGGGCATGGGGAACTAGAGAAAACGTTGATACTCTGGTATTGCTACTGCTGTGGGCAATATAGCCCTTTTTATCTGACCCAGTAGTAAAGTGTCTCCCGCCGGCATCCATGAAACCGTGGCAGGAGACCTTGTTAGTTTCAAGTTGGTTTCAATCTCAGACCCGTCATAATGTGTGCTACTACCTCCCTTGTAGGGCTATAGTCAGGATTAAATAAGATGATGCCAGTGTCCAATGGACATCGATGGCATCTTTCAGCTGTCTATAAATTTCCATAGACTTACTCCTTAGTTATATAAATATTGTCAAGAATGATGATGGAAACAATCCATTAGGAAAAGTCTTCATGGCATCCTTTTTTTTTTCTCAGAAAACAGAACACTTACCTTCTTTGAGGATCCACTATCCAATCTCCTTCCCATTCCCAGCCTTTTGGAGGCAAAAAGAATTCCCTCTTGAGCTTTATTTTTCCCGTCACATCAGAAAATTTATGACGTCCCACTAATCCAGAGGTGCCCCATTTTCCAAACATGAAAGCTTGATTTTCATACTATTAAAAAAAGAAATGAAATTGGAGAAATATCATCAGAGAGCAAGAAATAAAGCCAGCCCATAAATGTTCAAGTTCATCAAGGACTTAGCCTAGACAGCCATAGAAAGCAAAAAAGCTTTATCCTTAGAAGGTGCAGACCTACCTAGGGTTGTTATTGATTTTGAAACTTTAAATAAATCATTCATCTTTCTGAGGCTTGGTGTTCTCATCTGAAAACCGGGGATAACACTAACTCTCTTATATAGTTGTTCTGTGTTCTGTAGTTCAAACGTGCAAATGATTATAAAAGTGCTTTGTAAACAATGATATACCATGCTAGTTTTTCTATTATTATTATGAATGGTTCAAAATAGTTCTTTGAACCTTATCATTTAAATACCTATAAAAGTCCTCAACTTAAAAATGTGTAGATTTATAGAGTTTATTTGTAAGTCTACTGCTTAGAACTTGGAACATGTTTACCCACTGAAACAATATATAACTCATGGTATACTTCCCAGGTAGCCTACAAAAAACTCATCTGAAACATGAAGGTCCTTTAGCCCCTTATTGCACCTAAAAGTTATGAGCCTTAATCCCTTCTGGAGCATGGCATGTGGACAAAGACCTTTCTGGGAAGCAGGTTTAGTAACAGGAGCAGACTCTGGTTCCCAGGGCATTCCTTTCCAAGTTAGAATTTATTAATCTACAATGGTCTGCTCTTCACTCTCTCAACCATAGAAAGGGGTGAGATTTGCCTGTGTCATGAGTGTGACATTTGGGGCTCAAACTGGAATTTCCATTTTTCTGATGAACCCCCTGAGAAGAAGATTTGCACGAGCCCTAGCAAAGTTTTTGGCTGAAATATGAAGAAGGGGGCTAGGGTAGGGGCCTGATGAGGAAACTGGGGTCAAGAGGACACAGTAGTGCTTGTCTCAGAGGCTGGCTCTGAGCCTGCAGGGAAGATGAGCTTCAGGCAGAAGCTAAAGGAGCTGTTATCACAAAGGACAGTGAGACTTGGGGACATATGACAAGGACACAGAATGGAGGAGCAAAGTATTCCTGCTGCTTCTGCTTGGAAACCAGCATGGCTCTAGAATTGATGAAATCCAGGCAAGGACCTTGGCATGGATAAGAAGGCAACAGCAGTGGAGATGGAGCCTCCAGTGTCTTTGAGGGCTGTGGCCTGTAGCCAGCAGCAGGGAGGCAGGACAGTACAAAACAAGCATTCATGAGCAAGCACCTCACAGACCCCCAGAAATTGTGGGGGGAAATTTTGCAGAGAACTAAATTCGGTTATTAACACATGAAAGTAAGAACCAGTAAAATTCCCATCATTGTGATTAACATGCCCCTCCTGGTATTCAGGGGCAAGTCACACAATACAACTGGAATGGGTGGGTCATCTCTCTACATAAGTTGCAGCTTGAGCTCCACTCTATACAGAGAATGATCTGGAAATGGGAAACAGCAGAAGGGAGCCGTGGGCTGGTCAATTGTTGCTCAGGGTTAGCTTCTCCTGTCTTGGCCACAGCCACAGAGCTGGGGGGTAGGTGGATGCCAAGAAATCCTACAGGAAGGCAGAAACAAGCCTCTCCTTATGGATATACCCTGGTGTCCCCACCCCACACTGCCCAGCCGGTTGGACATCAACATCCTCCACTCAGGGCCTCCCCAGCGGCCTCCAGCTCTCCCTCTAATTATCTCCATTAGCACCTCCAAGCCTGAGTTGTAAGGATTTGTTTGTGCATGTCTCCCATGCTTTTCATTGTTTCTTAAAGTGGTCCACTGATGCCCCACGTCTATCTCTGGTGCTAATCCCTAACCTAACCTAAGCTGTAGAGTCAGAGTCCCCAGGGTGGCTCAGGGTGTCTGCACATTTAACAAGAAACCCAGTTTTACAATCACTGCAGGAGATTTTGAGATCCTTGAGGATGAGGCTTGGCTTCTTCATCATCCCCAGCACCTGGCTCAGTGCCTGGCATAAAGACCCCACTCCCTAAAAGCTTGGATGGACAGATGTTTGCATGGAGGGGTGCAGGGATGGTTGGGTGGATAAATTCTGGCATCATTTATTTGTTCATTCAGTACCTATCTATAGGGACCTGTTAGATGCCAGGCACCACTGAATGGATAAAAAGTAAAAAATAAAAGATGGCCATGGGCTTTTTGCTCAGCAAGCACATCAGAGCCACAGCCCTGAACCAGTTGCTAGGTACAGTAGTGGGTAGCAGGAACAGGTTTATAGGTTAGCTAGATGGGAGATAGTTCTTCCTCATGGATTTTGAGGATGGAGGCTGCCTGTAGAGTGGGGTTCATCGGAAATTGTCAGAAGAAACCTACCAAACACATCTAGTAAATTTAAATCAATGAGCACTTTGAGTTAAAAATAGTATAATAAATCAAAATAACTCTACTATTAGCTACAAAAGTTTGTGAAAATTATTTTCATTAGTTTAATTGTAATGAGATTTTCAATTAACTAAGTGGATTTTAAACCCGGTGAAAGTTTTTACAAATTATCTTTGTTGTTTCTGAAGTATTCAGGCAGCATTTTCTTTGTCCTTGGGCAAACCCATCTGAGGCTTCCCCTAAGTGTAGGATGGGTCTCCTCAGTTTAAAGACCTTCCACCCCAAGCAAGCTTATCAAGATCTGAACATCTTAAATGTCCCCTTTCTTGGGTTGCTGCATAAGTGCGAGTGTGAGTGTGTGTGAGTGTCTGTGCGTCTGGGTGTGAGTATGTGTGAGTGTGTGTGTCTGAGTGTGTGTGTGTGTGTGTGTACTCTACTCAGTGCCCCACCATCAAGCACCAGTGTGACTGTTATTGAATTCTAGCTCTGAAAGCTAGAAGGGCACCCATTTTCAGTATTGCTGGTGAGACTGGGGTGGAGGTCACCTTTTGGAAGTATCACACGAAGGGATTAATCACCCTGGTGTATTCCAATGTTGCCAATAAAACCTCAAGAGGATCTTCTCCTATGCCCTTAGGTTAAGGTCCCGTGGATGGGGTTTTAGGTGGAGGTAAGGATGGCTGTATGTGCATGTTTTCCCTAAGGGTGTAAAGTAAAAGTACCCCTTCTCCCACCAAAGAAGAGAAGATCCTGATCTCATTAAATGTACCATTTCAGCAAAGACGGTGAAAGTTCCTTCTGCAAAGCTATTAAACTTCTTCTCAACAGCACTCAAGCCCAGCCAGATGTTCACTCGCAATTCCACAGGCACCTTTGGGCCGCTGTTTTTTTCCTGCGGATACTGTGAGGTGAACAATAAATAACATGTTAGGTTATATTGGGCGCAGCATGGACTGTGACATTAAGTTAAAGCCAAAAGCAAGAATGAATCATTGCTGACACCAGTCTAATTTTATGTTTGCTTTAGTTAAAATATGCCCAAATGACCCTACAGCAACAATTAAAATAACTAAAGCAGCGAATCAGAGTGTGATCCATGGATTCTTGCCTGAAACATTTTCGGGAGGTCCACATGGTCAAAATGATTTTCCTACTACACTAACATGGTATTTATCTTCCTCACTGTATTGGCATTTGCACTGATGGTGCAAAAGCAATAGTGGCTAACACTCCTGGCACTGTAGCAGGAATCAAGGCAGTGACCCCAAACTGTACCCAGTAGTAACAGTAGAAGTAATAGTAACTATGCAATCTCAGTAAAGGAAACGAAACGCCAGTTTTACTGAAGAATTCTCTTGATCAGGCAGTGAAAATTATTATTCTTATTAAGTCTTGACCCTTGAATACATGTGTTTTTAATATTTTGCGTAATGAAATGGGAAGTACACACAAACCACTCCTGCTGCAAATTAGCATATGATGGTTGTCTTGAGCAAAAAAGCTCTTGTGCAATTTTTTGAGCTGTAAATTGAACTAGAGTTTTTAAAAATGAAACATCATTTTTACTTAAAACAATGATTGACAAATACGGTTGTTCAGATTTGAGTTTGGGGCATTTTTTTATTTAATATAGAGTGAGCCTCTCATTTCAAGGAAAATAGCTGTCTTTATTTGCTGCCAATGACAAAATTCAAGCTTTCGAGTAAAAAATAGAGTTTTGGAAAACTTGTATCTGTTGCAGTGAGTTTGGTAGCTTCCCAGTACATAAAGTCTTTTCTGATAAATGATATTAACAAATGTGATAAAAATGTGATTTTTTTGCAATATTGTATGATGAAATGCATCATTAGAAGCTCTGAATAACTCAGTGAACCAATGTTTTCCAAATGATCATACTTGAAGTTACAAAATCATGCGTGGATAAGAGTCATTCAAAGTTCAAGAAAGTCCATTAGATTTTAATGTAACTGAGTATGAAAAACTTATTGATACAGTTTCGGATTTCACATGACAATCAACCTTTTAAAAGCTACTACTTTACAAATTTTAAGGTTTCAAAAAAGAAAAAGAAAAAAATTAAAAAAAAATAAAATAAAAAAATAAAAGCTACTACTTGAGTTTGGTGTTATGTCAAAAGTGAATATCCACAATCATCGAAAAAGGTTATTATAATACTCTTCCCTTTTCTGACTATATATCTCTGTGAGGCTGGATTCTCTTTGTGTAATTCAACCAAATAATTTATTCTATCAACTTAAATGCACAAGCAGATATGAGAAGTCAGTTGTAGTTCCTGCTAAGCAAGACATTAAAGAAGTTTGCAAAATTGTAAAATATGATCACTCTGCTTTCTGATTTTTTATAAAAATATAGTTATATTTTATAAAAATGTATAATTATGTTAACATTTTAAATTAAATATATAATTCATATGTAATTTATGTTAATAATGGGTTTATTATCATTACTGTTAAATGAACAAATAAATGTTTTTAAAATTTCTCAGTTTCAATTTCTATTACAGTAAATATTGATATAACCTACATATATCAAAGCTCTCTGGGGTCTTCATCCATTTTTTTAAAGTATAAAGAGGTCCCAAGAACAAAAAATTCACAGAATTAATGCTTCCTAAACTCTATAATAATGAGTATTAACAAAATCAATAAATATATAAAACATTCTCTTAAAAGCATTTTGCTGTTTATCCACTGAGTTCTAAAACCTAACACAGAGACAATGCCTTTGTCTCCCCTCCCACCCCCTGTGAAGTTTTATTTATTAATCAGTTTGCTTCCACCCACTGCTGAGGTCAATTATAATTGTGGTTCTATCTTAAGTAAAATTTATTCTACCAAGAGACACTTGAAAGAAGATAATCACTCTGATTCTATTTACACCCTCCTGATTAAAGAGCAATGAGCAAATTTATTAAAAGTTAGCAGATATCTCCTTGTTTTAAGAGAACACTCTCCCCTGACTCTACTTTTTCTCTTCTTGATTTTTATTTCTCTCTCCTAAATCCAGTGAACACCAGTTGGGGTTGGTCAGAGAGAGGATGTCAGAACATATAGATGGGAACTATTCTGATTTCTTTGTTTCCAGGACCCAGGCCCTCCTTTGGTTCCGCATGTGCACAAACGGAGCAGTTACTAATACAGGGTTCTAAGATCGGCTTATGGGTTCTATGAAACTCTCAAATTCTATGCAAAATATTGGATGCACAAGCAATGTGCGTTCTCTCCAAGGAGAGGACCAATAGCTTTCATCAGGCACTTAACGTAGTCCACGACTCTAAAAATGTTCAGATTCTTTGCCTAAAGTGGGAATTATCAAAATGTTTCAATCTGAGGACCCATGTGGTCAGAGCAATAGATTCCATGGACTATGTAAACTACTTTCTCTTTTTACCCCCAACACTCACTAGAATGAAGGGAAGAAAGGCATTGCTTTGCATGAGACATTAGAAGTACGTGGAAAATTCATGCCAGAAAGCAAAGCATTCAAAACGTCATGATAACATTCATGTCACAAAAACCTCTAAGGAGGTGTTCTTGATTGAAAGCCAGTCAACCTCAACTCACTCTCTGAGAATTACCGCCCAAGAGGAAGGGACCAGAATGGGCTAGAAGTGATCACAACCACCCCTGCCATTCAACGATCAGCCAATTACCTAACGCAGCCCCTTCTCAGGCACACGGGGATTGCGTGTGAGTATGTTTCACATCACACAGTGAAGACGCGCACCTTCAGGAAGATGGTCTGGGTTTTCCCACAGTATTTCCCAGATGCACTCTCGCCGCTGGTGGAGTACAGAACCTGGTGTGCAGGAATGCGTGCGTAGGCCAGCCTTTTCTCTCCCCGGATCATCCAGATGATGATGTCAGGCATACTGTTCTGCGGCTGGTCACAAGGGTTGGTGGAAAAGGAGGCAAAGTTACCTGGTTAGCCTGGAGGACTGAGGACCCCACAGACTGGACCCTCAGGGCTCCATTTGGCACAGAAATGCCATGGTTAGAGCTCTGTCCTAAATTCCTGAGACTCATATCGTCTAGGTTTATAAAGGAGATCTGAGTTCACCATAGAAATCTGTGGAAGCACCAAAGCATCCAAAGTAGAAAACAAAAATTACCTGTAACCCTGTGCTTTTTCCAAATGTATTTCTCCCACAGATGCATTACTACCTACCGTCCTGATCTCTGAAGGACAGTGGCAGCCAACATTTACCCAGCACCTCCTGCGTGCCCTGCACTGTGCTAAGCCCTTCCCATTCATCGTCTTTGAATCCTCACACAGCAGTGCTACGATCCAAAGTGAGCACTGTGTTTATCTCCATTTTACAGATGGGGAAACTCAGGTTCAGAGAGGTTGAACAACTTGCCCGAAGTTACACATGGCAGATCCAGGATTCAAACCCAGGTCTTCCTGCTGTCACCCAAAGCTGACATTTTAATCCTCTGTACTAGATAGATCTGCTGCGACATCATTCAAAATATCCTCTGATAGTACTGTGAAAATGACGACTTATCCACTTTTGAAGACATTTCCAGGATCACCAACTCAAAATTCTTCTCCTGCCCTGATCTGAATGGCATTCATCCCCATTACCCATTAGCATTCCCAGTCCAGTGACTCCTTGATTTGTATAATCTGTCAGATCTGTTCAATATCCAGGATAATGTGGTAGTTCTCCTTCCACCACTCCCATCCTTGGCACCATCCCATAGAATCCGTATCAGGGGACATCTGTGTGGTTTAAACATCTTACCTCTTCAGTCAGCTGCATTAATTTATCAAGCCAGTCTTCAATTTCCACCAGTGTGGACCTCACATCTGTGGCCTCAGACCTCATCCTCACAGCGGCCTCGTGTATCTGGGAGAGCGCTCTGGACCGCAGCTTTCGGATCTGAGTATCCAGAACTGTGACATTGGCTTTTCCTTCTGTGAGAGGCAACGTGTATCTTAAAAAAAAAAGGAAGAAAGAAAGAGAGAGAAACAGTACTATTGAGTTCATTTGTGTTAGGATTCCATCTTGCAAACCACATCAATCTCCTAACTGATTCCACAAGCATTGCCTGGTTTAAGGTGGAGCTGAGCATCTGGCATTCCCGGGGCAGACCTGCCAGACGGTCTCTTAATGTTCAGGAGGGAGACAGGGGGATTCAAATCCCAAAGCAATTTTAAACCTTAGGGATTACACTAAGGCCCAAGGAGACACTAGAAAGAAGACGGAAACAGCCGCAGCTGGGAGAAACTGGCTTTCCACTCTTTTGCCGGCTAAAATCACTGTAGGGACCCACAACAAGTTGAAAGAGGAAGGTAGGTTAGAAATCATTGAGGTCGGGTGCAGTGGCTCACACCTGTAATCCTAGCACTCTGGGAAGCAGAGGTGGGCGGATCACTCAAGGTCAGGAGTCTGAAACCAGCCTGAGCAAGAACGAGACCCCGTCTCTACTATAAATAGAAAGAAATTAATAGGCCAACTAATACATATAGAAAAAATTAGCCAGGCATGGTGGCGCATGCCTGTAGTCCCAGCTACTCGGGAGGCTGAGGCAGGAGGATTGCTTGAGCCCAGGAGTTTGAGGTTGCTGTGAGCTAGGCTGACGCCAGGGCACTCACTCTAGCCTGGGCAACAAAGTAAGACTCTGTCTCAAAAAAAAAAAAAATCATTTAGTTGCAGGGTTCTTAACTTAGGGACCAGGCATCCTTAGGCAGTCTACAGGTGAGCCTCAGGAGGCCCGTGAAAGCCTGAGCTTATTAAGAAAACTGTGTGCGTCTGTGTTAACATGCGCCGTGACAGAATGATGAACCCAAGTTTTGGAGCCAACTACTTGGGTACTAATTGTGGCTCTGTTATTCTTTACCAGTTCCGTCTACTTGGCTGTCACTTACTCTCCTGTTCTCCTACCTTCAAATGTGAGAAACACCTTTTATGGTGGTTGTGAGAAGGAAATGAATGACCATATGGAGAACATTTGGAACAGATGCATTGTAAAGTCTAAATAATGCTATCATCACCACCATCTCATGGTCATCTTCATCACTGACATCATCTCATCAGATTCTCCAAGGGGCCCATGAGCTCCAAAAAGATTAAGAATAATTGACATAGGCCACGCCCCCATTCTAAACGAGAACTGGGCAGTATAGTGACGGGCCCCCCAAAGGCTCCTGAGCATGGCCGAGCTGGGGCCAGAATTAGCCGTCCTCTGCCAAGCCTTCCCTCCTGCTATGGCAGCTGGTGGGACATAGGGTGAGACTGTCCCCAACTTCAGGAAGTTCTACTCACATTGTCCCACTCACGTTGTCCCAAGTGAGTGGAATTTCCACTCACTTGAATTTCACCCAGCTGCTTAAACGAAGGAAATCCTAGCACGACTTCCCTTAAACACTGAATTTCCTGTTACAGAAATTTGGAAAAGATTCCAGTTTGATTCTTCAAAAACAGCTCACATCAGAAGTGTGAATAGATAGATACGCTGTAATTCGCTCAGCAAACCTTACAATTCTCAGACATTTTCCATATAAAACTTACTACCAAATGTTTCTGTTTGGTTTCATTGATAACTATAGCAACGCACTGGAAGGGCTAAGTCCCTCTAGTGATTCTTGAGGCAAAAATATATCTGGAAGCTGTTCGCTCAGAAGTCACACTGGAGCCCTTTGACAGACTACGGAACACGTGGCAGGAAAAGGGGCCGGGCTGCTAGACCCAACTCTGGGCATCAGACGTGTCATTTCACTTCTTTGGGCCTCTGATATCTCAAGACAAGGAGACTGGGAGAGATGACTGTTAGAGAATCCAGCTCTAAAATTCTGAGCTTAAACAAGTCTCCAGCTGTACTTGGATTTCGGCCGCGTTGCAATTACCTGGCTCAACCGCCAGGAGGCACAAGAAGACAGGGTGACTTGGGCATCAGCCCGGCGCGGGGAGAAAGGCCGTGGTTCTTGCTGCTTGTGGAAAGCGTTCAATGTGCTCTTCTTTTGGAACTTCCCTGTCCACTGCTTTATTAGCCAACATTGAAAACGAGTTTGGAATGAATCACTTCCCCCTTTGATTTCCAAATGATAAGAGATCTGAGCTGTTTTCCCAAGTCACTGTTATGAAAGGTCCTGTGGTTAAGTCAAATCTATGGGTTTTGCCTAACAGAGGCTTGGCATTCAGTAAAAGAATAAGTAAAAAGGCTATTTCTAAAAATATGTTTCTGAATTAGGGACATTGTTCTGAATGGTAAAATAGCTGCTCCACCCCCAGACCCCGTTCTCGGTGGGAGCCAGAAGCCACCCTTCTCCAGGGTGGTGGGCATCACTCTAGCTCCCTCCGCCCCTCCCCTGTCCCTTGCCCCAGGCTGCCCTGAGACGGGCTCTGGGTGTGGGGCCCCAGCCTCCCCAGGCTACTTTAGAATTGGCACCAAATCAGAAAGCAGAGCTTTTCCTGGTGGTGATTCAGAGACTCCTCCCAGTGAGGGCCTTTTAAGAAGCTTGAATAGTTCAAATTCGTTTTTTTTAAACAAACACTACAGACCATTCTAGAGGCTCTTACAGCCTTAGGATTTCAGGGAGAAGAGCTTGGGTGGAAATTATGAGAGAAAAACAAGATCACTATACCTCGTGTCTTCTATAACTTCGTCTATCAGCTTCAACCACAATTCAGCCAGCTGGTTTTCAGGAATTTTACTTTGTATCCCTGATTTTAGAGCCTCTACATTTGATTGCTGAAGAATTTGAAAAGACAGAAAGTAATTAGTAATTGTGCTTTATGCTATTATACCCACTAAAGGTTTAACTTTTATTTTCGAGAAAAAAAATATATAAAAAAGCTCAATTACAGAAAAACTAAAGGGATTTTTTTCCTTTAATAATACTCACCATAGCTTAGAACTATTTATTTGTGCTCAAAATATAATTAATACTGATATGTTTAAGTAATAGGACAACCTTTTCATATAGTTTGACCTTTGGAACCATGCAAATATTTTTTTTTTTCTTTTTTTTTTATTTTAGTACAAGAAGAGGAATGCAACCATGCAAATATTTATATCTTCAAAAAACAAATAAAATGAAACCAGCAAGGATAGGGGAGAGAACCTTAAAATGGAATATAATCAGCAACAAAATAGATCTAATTATATTTCAGATGAATAACCTAATTACACTGAACTAACCCAAGTAACTTTTAAACACAATATTTTAACTATGTACTCTCAAATAAAAAAACAGAAACAAAAACCCATAAATTTGTTGAACCCTAATTAGTAGGCTTATTTTTTCACAGTAGCTTATCTATGGATTTTACAATTGAACAAATGAGTATATTGAAAATATAACAAAGGCCAGATTTCTCACTGTTGGAGAAGAAAATTATAAATATAGAAATAGGGAAGGCTAGAATAAACCCTGTGGTATTGGACTGGAACTGGAGGTATCTTTATGAACTCATGGTTTTTAGTATATGGATGGATAGAGAATTAAATATACGTGTGTTTGTGTGTGTGTGTGTGTGTGTGTGTGTGCAAGTATTCCCGCAGAGAAAGCCCAGAAGCAACAACATTTCAGTAGTAGTGAGCACTTAGTGTCCAGATCTTGTTTTATAAATGCCATTCCCCACTAAAAGGAACCAGGGCTCCTTGGAGAAATGATGATTCCAAGGCTGGGGCAGAGAAAGTACAAGACAAGCCCGCAACATATTGTGTTGCATTGAGAATCTGCCAAAAGAGAGGTTGAGCGAGTGCCCACCATGAGTCCCAAAAGTCGTCTTCATGGAAAGTCACCATCCTGTCCAGAGTAGCATGGAATTAGGACAGCTTGGAGAGAGTTGATAAGAAGAACCAGATGGAAAGAGCTGAAGAACATCCAATTAGAATAAAGGTGTGACTAATTCTCCACAAATGCCCTTGATAAGGATTGGAAATTATTACTACAACTACATTGCATATCAGTTGCAGCTTTATTATATGAACAGTAATGATTAAGTTGATTGAAACCTCTTACTATTTTTCCATATTGTCTTTATAACATAAAATAATACTTCCAGATTTTGCCTAGAGTCTTAGGTCAGGCATACGCCCCAAACCCCCATACGTCTTGGTCCAGCCCTGGTAGAGATTAGATCTTAGAAAAAATGAATATTAATATAATTTGGAAATCAAACCACTGATGCCAGATAGATTTCATCAAATAGAAGTGACTCAGTATCTTTGACTTCATTAGAAATATCCCAAGCACATCCCCCTTCTCCTCGCCAACCTAGTTGACCAAAGTCAACTAGATGGACAGTCACAGATATCATATCTATGCAGTTTTCACCAGAGAAAACCCACAAACATCCAAACAAGGAAAGTTCCTCTGGTCCGTAGCAAGTGTGGAAAATGCCAGACACTGGTTCTTTTAAGCCACCTATTCCTACAGTGGGGATTTTTACTGCACTAACAGCAAAGCTCTAAGAGTTGCATGTTGCTATTGGAACAAACCACTCTCCACATACAAATTGTGGAGGAAACTATGAGTTTCCACTCAACCCCTCCACCCCCCACATTTCCCATCCTCCCCACTTCCACTGTGAGAAACTTTTATTGGGGCATTCGCCTGCCCAGGCACAAGACTGCATTCCCCAATTTCCTTGTAGTTAGCTGTGGCTGTGTGACTGTACTCAGACCAGCAGAACAGGATTAGAAATCAAGTGACTTCTGGGACTTTCCCTTCAAGGGAAAAGGCCTGTGTCATCTACTCTTCACTCTTTTGCCCTTAACTCAAGCTGGAGGGGATAACTCCCTAGTGATGGCAGAGAAAGAGCTGGGTCCCCAAAACCACTGACCCTCCATACTGGCTTTGGACCCTTGATCCCTGAACCTCAGCTGTTACTAAAGAAATTGCTGTTACCTTGCTGCCAGTGTGCTTTGAGACCTTGTGTCCTAGTGGCCTAGCCTGCAGCCTAACTAATACATAGTTCACTCGTCTGGTAAAGGGAAACGTAGAAAGGATAGACTTACCAGCCGTTCTACCATAACTAGGAGAGTGTTGACTGCATCCAGGCGATGACTAATGTCCTCCCAGTATGAAGTCAGGGTAACAACTGGCTTTGTGTGGGCCCACGGCAAGTAATAATAGTAGTTCCCTAGTATAAAACACAGGGGTCAGGGAATCTTGGACACTTAAAGTAGACACTGTGTTTATTAAAGAGATGTGCAGACTGAGCTGCCGATGAAGCCACATGCTTGGGGTACGGTTTGGGATCTTTAATTTTATTCAATTAAGCAGCTAAGGGATGGAAAGTTCTTTCTCATCCAGCCCACTTTAAAAATCTCTCTAAGATACCCTAGTAAGCTGAGTACAGCCACCTCAGGATCTTTTAATGATTCAAGGTCATGCATCTGAACATCAATGATGATGACATAGGATGGCAGCAGAAAATATAGACAGCATAGAAGAGTAGATGCAATATGTTTGTCCCTGCAAACTGCAGGGACAGTAAGTAAATATTTTTGTTGGAAGTGGGGCAAAAGGAAAGAATTTCTGTTCTTTGAAAGCTTTAGCTGGCTACATGGGGGTTTGGTATTACTTAGAGCCCTACCGTGATTAAGAATTATTAGCTGATGTTTTCTAGGACACTTTATTCTCTAAAACTGCTTGTACTAAAATTAGGTAAAAACTATGGCAGTACTGTGGGTTATTTGATCAAAATGCCTCTCTCCCTTCTCTATACTCTCCAGCCATTTTTTGATACTTTTATTAGGGCATTCTCATGCCTCGCCTTCTATTATGATTTATTTTACACACTAGAATGTAAGCTCTTTAAAAGCGGTGACCATTTCTCACTTATCATCTTCAAATAGAGCTATTTAATCAGCACAGCAACTCTGGGGAAGACAGAGACGCTGAGGATTGGAATTAAGTGGTGTGGTTGAGGTCAGAGAGCTGATGAGTAGCAGAGTGGAGACCAGAAGCCTGAGTTTCCAGGGCCTGGGACAAAGCCCCTTCCACCGCAACTACTCAATCTAAGAAAGATGTGGGGCTTGGTGGGGGCAGGAGCTGCTTTGGGGTAGCTCAGTATTTAGCAGAGTCATCATCTCGAGACTTTACAAGGTAAAGCCGGCGTTAAAGCCAGGTGGGGGGCATTGGGGTTCAGCCTCTGGCAATGGGCCCTGCAACTTACTGGGTCTGGCCAATCTTGAAGGTGCCTGGACTCCGACTACACTCTCTTCCTCATTCAACCTTTTCCTTTCCACTAACCATATGCTGGGGATATGGCTGCCAGAGGAAGGGTACAGCGCATGCTTCCTGTCTTGTGGTGCACAGGAGAGACTGGTTGGTGCCAATCTTACCATCAAATATGGCGCGGCTGTATTGAGTGGTTGATGCCAAAGGCTTACAGGTCGCGTCAAACTTGTTGCCGTAGTTTCCAATGCTGACTTCAAACTGAATGGCTTCACCGATATCTTGCAACATGGTGGCCGAATGAAAGACAGCAGACAGGCTGTACTTCCGCCTTCGCTGATATCTCTGTAAAGTATGAGCAGACATAAGTCACAGTGAAACTTCTTTTGCCCTTATTTACATGTGGATTTCCAGCAGATGAAGTTCTAAACTTAATAATTAAACAACAGGGGAGAATGTTCTTGGACCCAGCAGTTCCTCTTGAACTCATACATGTGAGCAAAAACGGAAGTACTAGGATGTACACTGCAGCGTTGATTGAAATAGGAAGAAAAGAAAACAATACAAATGTCTCTCAGTACAGATTATGTTATGTCCACATAATGGAATGAAAACTCATAAAAAGACCTAAGTAGATACATATGTGCAAACACAGAAGTATATTTTACATGAATCCATTAAATATATATTTTTAATATTGTCGTATGCATGGAGAATATCTGGAAGAATATAACTCAATTTGTTAACAGTAATTATGTTGGGCAAGGTAGAGAGATTATGGCAAACTTTACTTTCTAATTTATACATTTTTAATTTTTTGAATTGTTTATTAATTTTCTAATCAGAAATATATTTTTGATGCCAGATTTAAAAATAAATGAAATAAAGTGAATTGATTTTTCTGAAATGGAAATCAAACTGTCTTTCTTTTTTTCCTCTCTTTCTAAATTACTGATTTAATGAGCGTGTCTGTGTGTGAGGGAGCTGAAGATAGGGCCAAAAATAGCCACACTGAGCATCTATCAGCCCAGCAGAAATGACCAAGAACCATTCAGGCCTTCCCTCATGGGCACATAAAATCTCTTGAATCCACATCCTGCTCCAAATCCTTGCTCAGATGACAGTTCTCCTTTAAGAACTATATCCCCACTCATAGGGCCAGGCGCAGTGGCTCGCGCCTGTAATCCTAGCACTCTGGGAGGCCAAGGCGGGCGGATTGCTCCAGGTCAGGAGTTTGAAACCAGCCTGAGCAAGAGCAAGACCCCATCTCTACTATAAATAGAAAGAAATTAATTGGCCAACTAATATATATACAAAAAATTAGCCAGGCATGGTGGTGCATGCCTGTAGTCCCAGCTACTTGGGAGGCTGAGGCAGAAGGATCGCTTGAGCCCAGGAGTTTGAGGTTGCTGTGAGCTAGGCTGATGACACGGCACTCACTCTAGCCTGGGCAACAAAGTAAGACTCTGTCTCAAAAAAAACAAAAAACTATATCCCCACTCATTGGCGGGCACTCTGCCTTCTTCAGTTTTTTCCAAACAGCCATGCAATGGTTTAAGTTGGTGTACTTCATTATGTCCTGTGCATTCTGCCCTTTAATACTGTCCTCAACCAAAGTCTGTTCTGGAGCCCTGTTGGTGTCCACTTGCCCAGCTAGGAGGAGAGAATGTCAGTGGTTACTACGGTGCAGCCACGTTGGCTATGGGCTCCACCTGCGAACTCGTTAGATCCCCCCACGAGTGATCATACTCAAACTGCTTGACAATTTCTCACCACAGCAAGTTTAGTTCAAAGCCTTTAGAGAAGGAACTTCAGCTCTGTGGTCCTTCAGTTTGAGATTTGGAGGCCACACAGATATCAAACTGTAGCATACAATGACTTTTTCATTGTTGTATTTGGTTCTCTCCTTGCTACCAATTGCTGTGCCACAATCTAAGTAATAAAGTAATGATGCCTTTCACCTCTTGGATGTTACTAAAAATTACTTGATCCCTCTAGGATATTTATTAACTGATTTTCCTTCCCTTAATTACCCATTCATACCATGGCTTTTGTTCAATAAAATGAATCACTGTCAAGGATGGGTCTTCTGGCTTGTGTGATGCAAGAAAATGCTCACACATTTACAGAAGTAGTTAGATGACCATTTAAAAAACTTCCTTTTTAACAAAAATTGTGCTAAAATATAGATAATATAAAATTTACCATTTCTAGTGGCACAGTTCAATGGCATTAAGTACACTCGAATTGTTGTGCTACCATCACCAACCATCCATCCACAGAACTCTTCCCATCTTGCAAAATTGAAACTCCACACCCGTGAAACAATAACTTCCCATTTCCCCTTCCCCCTTGGCCCTGGCAATGACATTCTACTTTCTGTCTCTATTAATTTGAGTATTCTAGGTACCTCACATAAGGGGAATCATGCAGTATTTGTCCTTTTGTATCTGACCTATTTCACTTAACATAATGTCTTTGATGCTCATTCATGTTGTAGCATGTGTCAGAATTTCTTTCCTTTTTAAGGCTGAATAGTATTTCATTGTAGGAATACACACATTTTGTTTATCTATTCATGCACTGATGAAAACCTGGGTAGCTTCTACCTTTTGGCTATTATAAATAACACCGGATGTACAAATATTTGTTTGAGTTCCTGCTTTCAATTATCTGGGGTATATAGCCAGAAGTGGAATTGCTGAATCATATGGCAATTCTATTTTTAATATTTTGAGTACTTTTTTAAGAACTCCTGACAGTGACTGTAACTTGTGGCCTTAAAGAACCGCTGGACACCTCACTATTACAAAGACTCCATTTTGGTTAAAGAAATTTTTGACATGGTACAATAGAACCCTCCAAAAGGGTTTTGTCAGAAACTGTTACCAAATGCTTGACACTTGTCCACAAGGCCCAATCAGAAGAAGGAGGACAAGTGGTCTGGGGAGGAAGGAAAGAGACATTTTATTACTTTGTCACCAAAAGGAAGAGGATGGAGACTCCTGTCTGAAGTGCCATGGTCCTAATAACAAGCAGAAATACAGAGCTTTTAAAGGATGGGTTCTCAGCTGCAGGCAATTACTGTTCACCTGCAGCTGATGATTCAGATCTTCCCACCTCAGCTGAAGACAATCTCCTGACCTTCCCCCAGGACCCCCCTTTACCAGGTTTGGGCTGGGCCATTTCTTGTTGCACAAGTGACAAAAGACTTACCCTGCCCCTCCCAACCACTGGCCTGAGGCAGGGATGCAGGTTTTAGTTCTCAAAAAGGAGTGCAGGATGTGTGAAAGAGACAGAAAATATTTCTGCCATTTTTTCAAGCTATTCCTCTGTTACAAACCTTCAGAGCTAACATTGGTTTGCAGCCTAACTGCATATTGAATTACCTGGGGAGCTTTAGCTCGGACATTGTGAGTTTCAAAGCTTCCCTGTTTTAGTCTCTTGTCACTTTGGCAGAGAGGGGCTTGAGGGACTTAGGCTATTTGTCAAGAGCTCTGCTTAACTACCCACACTAAACCCCCTGAACTACAGTGGTTGAGGAATGCTATGGAAATTCTGGGTTTGAGTTTGAATTGTGTAAAAAGTAGGAAGTTATTTGTATAATATTAGTCAGAACTTAACAGCACAACTTCTTCTTTGTAAACCACCTAGGATGACACAAGGGAAGGGAAGGAGCTAAAAGTAGGAAACATAATTTGGGGCCTGAGTCAGGGCCTGGAAGAAAGTGAACAATATTTAAGCCAGAGCCATCTACTAAGCCAGGGGCTGCGGAGTACAGAGAAAGTTCGTGGGAAGCTCCACAAAGGGGTGCGGACGCTGCCTCTGGCCGGGCTGGCTCCGCCCCGCACACCTCCACATGGGCAAGGATTGCATTCCAACTCCTGGATGTTCCCATGCAGAACTTGCACAGTGCCCACAGAATCCCTGAACCCTCACCCTGGAGAGTCTGAGCCCTAAAAACAATAGTTTGGGTTGGGGGGGGTGCACTTGGCTCTTTGGCAACCAAGTTGCCCTGTGCTGCATCCTTTTCAGCTCTACCAAAAGATTTTATTATTTGCACACAACCCAGAACATGAGATCTCTGTAAGATGGGCAAGTGTCATTATCATGTTCTAGGTTGACTGCACTCATTAAACCCTTCCGGCAGGTGACACGAATCTGCTCATCTCACTCTCTCCTGGGGCTCCTGGTTGCCTGGCCACGTCCTCAGAATCTCAGCTCCTCTCCTGCTTTGTCATGCCAGCAGGATTTTTCATTTTTGCTTCATTTCATTTTTGTTTGTACTAAACTTATTTAATAAAAACAGACACACTATTTTGCTGTTTTTGTTTAATTATTTGGAACAAAGAAAACTAATTCTGTTTTGTACACCAGTTAATAAAAAACTTCTTTTTTTAAAATACTGTTGACACATATTATGGGCTGGTATATTGTTGGCTCTTTTTATTTTTTGCTTTTATATTTACCAAATGCATGAGATAAGCTTCCTTGCTTATGAGTGTTTAATTATTTGTAGTACAGAAAACTAATTTGGTTTTGCATTCCAGTTAGTAAAGGGCTTTTCCTTTATACTTGGTTTGCTCCTCTCCCCCAATTATGGTTGTTTACAATTAAGAGAAGCCACATGGACTCAAGTTATATTCTGGTGATAGAAGAAAATAAAGAGGCACCACAATGGTTGAATGTCTGTGATGCCATTTCTGCAAAACCCTGAATTCCAACCAACATCTCCAAGAGCCAATTCTAGTCTATAAACACGCATGTCAGGAACCACCATGCCATCACTATGTGTTTCCACGGAGGTTTTCACATGGTTTATAGACATTCTCCTGCATGATGCATGATCCCGGTAGTAAATAGCATGTGAGCTACCCACTTTTCCACCCACCCTCCCCTTGTTTTCCTTTTTCTTAATTTGTCTTCAAGATCTGTTGCAATTCCTGAACTTTAGAGTGGACACTGCTGTGCAGTAGATGGAGAGACTATAGCTAGGATGTTAATTTTAACAAAGGGAATGGCATGAAAAAGGGTAAAGTGTTTTACAAGCTGTCTCTTTAAAACTTCCGTCATTCTTTTGGGGAATTAAAATATGCATCTCTGTCAGAAGGACAGGAGAGTGTTCTTCGCTTTTTCATACCACAGGAAATGGCTCCATGGAACTGTCTGGGCAGAGGTCAGGAGATTATCCTCACCAGAGATGGGGTCGATCAGAGCCATTAAGCAGTAATACCCTGAAGCTGAAAGCCCCCTTTAAAAGCTCTGTGTTTCAGCCTGGTGTGGTGGCTCACGCCTGTAATCCTAGCACTCTGGGAGGCCGAGGCGGATGGATTGCTCAAGGTCAGGAGTTTGAAACCAGCCTGAGCGAGACCCCGTCTCTACTAAAAATAGAAATAAATTAATTGACCAACTAAAAATATATATACAAAAAAATTAGCTGGGCATGGTGGCGCATGCCTGTAGTTCCAGCTACTCGGGAGGCTGAGGCAGTAGGATCTCTTAAACCCAGGAGATTGAGGTTACTGTGAGCTAGGCTGATGCCATGGCACTCACTCTAGCCTGGGGAACAAAGTGAGACTCTGTCTCAAAAAATAAAAAAATAAAAGCTCTGTGTTTCTGCTTATAGTTAGGAAAATGGTACTTCAGATATGAGTCTGCTACTTTCCTCATTTGCTGGTAAATTAATAAACCTCCCTTTCCTTCTCCTCAAACCACTTGTCCTTGTTCTTCTAATGCGGCCTCAGGGATAAGAGCTTAACTTTGGTAACATAATAACTTTTGGCTCTGTGTCTCTTTAACGAGTAAAACACAAAATAAAATGGGTTTACAGTCCGGGCGCGGTGGCTCATGCCTGTAATCCTAGCACTCTGGGAGGCCAAGGCGAGCAGATTGCTGGAGGTCAGGAGTTTGAAACCAGCCTGAGCAAGAGCAAGACCCATCTCTACCATAAATAGAAATAAATTAATTGGCCAACTAATATGTATAGAAAAAATTAGCCAGGCATGGTGGCCCATGTCTATAGTCCCAGCTACTCGGGAGGCTGAGGCAGCAGGATCGCTTGAGCCCAGGAGTTTGAGGTTGCTGTGAGCTAGGCTGACACCACGGCACTCACTCTAGCCTGGGCAACAAAGCGAGACTCTGTCTCAAAAAAAAAAAAAAAAAATGAAAAAATGGGTTTATATTCTGTGATATCACAGCATAAACCCTTGGAATCTGCTTACAGAGATTCTGCTTGATTTATGGCCTATTCTATAGGATTAAGGTTTGAAACATCAGGCTGAGTCCAACACTCTAGGTCTTCAATGGTCCCTAATCCTAATCCTTTTTGCTATTATATTATAGTAGACTCATCATTTGTGTTTGAGTCTATTCAGGCTGCTATAACAAAATTACCATAAACTGTCCCGGGCCCCCAGTGCACACGTGTAGAATGTGCACTGCACTCTCCAATGTCCCTGCAATGGTCTGAGGGACAGTGAACTGGTCCCGTTTAAAAAGTCTGAGGACCCCTGCTAAACTATCAACACAGTTTTGCCATCTTAACATAGCTTGTCTATGCCAGCAGCAATTTTGTTACAAAATTATCATAAACAACATTACCATAAACAAATATTTGTTGACTTATAAACAACAAATATTTATCTCTCACAGTTCTGAAAACTGGGAAGTCCAAGATCCAGGTGCTAGCAGATTTAGCATCTAATGAACCATGTTCTGGCTACATTCTGACATGGAAGGAGCAAAGCAGCTCTCTGAGGCCTCTTTTATAAGTGCATTAATCCCATCCGTGAAGGTGGAGACTTTATGAGCTAATCACCTCCCCAAAAACCTACCTCTTAATACCATCACCAAGGGGGTTATGTTTCAACATATGAATTTTGGGTGGACACAAATAGTTAGACCATGGCAATTTGCAAGGAATATGTTCCTGAGATCATAGCAAACCTCAAAATTCAAGAAGTTTGTAATATTCTATCATTTCCTCCAGGAACTATATTTAACAAAGTAACTGAAAAATTTGGGGGACTCCTTTAGATCCTAATTGAGAGTTGCTGCTGCAGTGTCAGGAATAGTGAGCCACGAAGCCTCACTGTCACCCCAGATGGCTGGCGAGGTGCACTCACCACCATTCACAAACCTGCCTCTCAGCACATTTGATTCAAATTCTCACCTCAGCGAAATCAATTCCTTACTACATATCAAAAAACTTTGGGATAACTCAAGAGCAGTCAAAACTATTAATGCTAAATCCAGGAATAGCATTATGGCACTGCTGATTTTATGGCATTCATGGCATAATATTATTTATGTGTCTGTATGTCAGCGAGGGTGGGGGAGAAGAGGAGTAGGGTGATAGAGAAGGACTCTATAATTTTTCAAAGAATTATCCCCCAATGAGGTATTATAATAACTTGGCCTTTAATATCGACTTCTGTTAAGAGGTAGGCTCAGCCAAAAAAATCTGATACATTAATGTATAAATGTAAATTTGATTAAATGTATTTATTAAACAGTAAATTTGATACGTTAATGTATAAAAACTGGAAAAACTATCATGTAAAAGCTGTAAGCAATTTCTGATTCCAGAGGCAGAGCTGTGAGGTCACATTCAAGGCAGATAATTTCTTTGTTTTAGGAAAATTTTTGGAATGGATCCTTAACTATGATGTAAAGCAAATACCTACCAGGCTTCTTTTATAATTTATTTATTTAATTTTTTTTTTTTTTAGAGATGTGGGGTCTCACTATGTTCCCCGGGCTGATTTCAAATTCCTGGGCTCAAGCGATCCTCCTACCTCAGCCTCCTGAGTAGCTGGGACTACAGGTGTGCACCTGCCTTCTTTCACAACTTAACCTGAATTGAACTGTTTTATAGGATAAACTTTCAAATGTATGTTTTAGCCAGGGCTATGTTATAATCTTTGCTAATTTGGGGAGAGAACTGTTTCTTTTCCCTGTATGAAGTTAGATTGAGGGCCTGTGGCTTGCTCTGAGGTGTAAAAAGAGACAACCTCAGGAAGAATACACAGCATGATCCTTTCCTCTTAAAGAATGAAACAGGATTGAAATTGGTGCAGCTCAAGAACTGACTACTGATGTTCCAAACGCACAAAGACGAAAGAATCCAGAAAGCACTGCTTTGGATGCTAACCTTATATAACTGTCTTCTGGGGAAGTGATGAGCAGGGCCACATTGCTAGGGGGTGGGGAGAGGTAGAGAAGGGAGAGTTTCCTCTAAAGGGAGTGGATATTCTCCCTGTCAATCATCCTGAAAAGGGGCAGATCTACTCGCAGGCTGACATTAGACAACTGGAAGGAGAAAGCTCTTGCTCGCTTGAGAACTCGTGGCAGCTGGGCCTGGACTGGGACCAAGATGTAAGCAGGGCATGACTGGAGTTTGGGGAAAGTGGAGAGCTGAGTCCGCCACAAGGAGCAGGCTGGAAGGAGACAGGGAGGCTGTCTGCCAGAGAATCGCCAATTTAGCCAGCCATGTTGTCACTATGTCACCGTGTTTTCCTATTCTTGTCCCAGAACTGAAAGTAAAAGCTTTTTTAAAGTTGCCGTTTGGTTTCTGTTGTAATGTGGGAAAATCAGAGCAGAGCCTGTCCCATGCTTGGAATGGGGGGCGACAGGGAGGTGGCAGTAGCCAGGGGAAGCTTGGGGGCTGGGGTGATTCGCAACCTGGCAAGGGGTGTCCCTGGGCAGACGGGCATCAAGGAGCTGGCTGCTCTGGCAACAATTCGGATTTGTGGCACATGTGAACATGGATCCGGGACTCTCAGAAATAGCTGGTGTGGGGGGGGGGAGGGGTTGAACTGGGAAGACTTCCTGTCTTCAGGGAGGAATGGGGGCTCAGAACCATTGTAATGTAGGATTTGAGGAAGCCTACCCTCATATGCTGGGGAGCCTGAGATACAACAGCCACCTTGAAAACAAAAATGATGAGTAGTGGCACCTATGGCATTGAGTGGTGGCTCTTGTGGTCACCTCCCTATAAGCCCCCAACCCCAGTGAGCAAACGGGCCATTCAACTTGGGACTATCAGTCCTCTTGCCAGTTTTCAGTAGAGTATCAACATCTCAAAGGATGAAGCAAGTCTCACTCACAGGGCTATTGTGGACACGTCCAGAGGTTGTCAAGGGCCCTTGCTATGAGTCAGGTCTCCCTCCCACTTCACCCCAGCTGACCCTTCAGTCCCTGGATGTTCCCTTTTCTGTACCATGCATTATTTACGTACCTCAACAACGAGCAGGTCATCATTTGCAATGGGCTCAAGCTTTTTATCTGGTGGTGTCTGCTCAAGCAAAGTGGTTAATTCAACCAAGATCCTGCCTCTGTAGGCAACTCCTTCTCCCTGAAAGGCAACAGCACCAGATTATTCCTCAAGGCATGAACAACAGCAAAAAGAACTCAGCTACAAAAAAATTTCTCCTTCTTGTGGCCCTAACTTTTAAAATGAATGAGTCAGCAACTGTCCCAGCTCGATTCAGATCTTTGGTATCTGAAAGGAGAGCAACCAACTTTAGGGGGAATCACAAAGAATGTCAAAGAATGCCATGGGATGCCAGGGCTGAAAGGGATCTTAGCCATGACCAAGGTCAGAGGCCTTCAAATCAAGCTCTTGGTCTAGAAGGGGTTCCCAGAGATTTGGGGGTGGGGTGGGTGGATGGGGCTCTAAGTCTCCCTCACTTTGCTCCAGCAGAGCAGCTCTGCATCTATTTGTGCTAACTCAGCCCCTTTTCTCCTCTTCTCAGAATAGGGAGGCTGCCATGCTGGCTACCATGGCCAGTGTCAGTGTGCCCAGGAAATAGAGGAGGAAGATGGTCAAGATGTGACTGAGCATGAGGAGGAAGAGTGGATACTCCTCCCCCCAGATCCAGCAGTGTTGGCCCTAGACACTTCCAGAGAGGAAGGGCAGGCACCATCCCCACAGCCGGTTTTCCACCTTTCCCCTCCTCTCTCTAGCTTAGTCACTTTCTTAGCCTTGGGAGGTAACTAAGAGACAATTGGTTTCTGTTGTGGTAGAAAGAGCATTTCCCGTCTCTCAGCCTCCATGTCCTCCTCTATGAAATGAAGGGGCTGGATCAGATCAGGAATGGCGAAGGGCACGTCACTGCCAATTGATACATTTCTGGATCATGGTGTCAAAAAGAATTCCAAGGCAGCACAGTGGCTTATTAGGAAAGAGAGGCAGCATTGATTATTGATGTCTGTCATAAGCATAGAAGTTGTGGGAGTCGTGACCAGTACATTGAGATGATCTCCAGGACCCTCTCCTATTCTTGTATTCCAAGACTTGAGGAGTGCGAGACTTCTCTCCTTCAACTCTTGATCAGTGGCATGATGGGTCCATGTGCTGGGGGAGGGATGCCCCCTAAATATGATACTTAATTATAACCATTATAAGAAGGAATCACATTAACCAGTGCTCCTTATTAACAACCATAATTGAGAAACTAACCTTTCCACTATTCAGCTCATCGTAGGGGTCTGGGAATCCCGTGTACTCTCTGGGGCTTCCATAAAGGTTTAGATAACAAGGTCCAAATGTTGGGACAAACCCCACCTCTGTTTCTCCTGTATTTACTAAGAGATAAACACCATAATTAGATTTTAGGCTTTTAACATTTAATCTTTTGAAATAAATATTAGTTATTAGTTAGGTAGGTGAGACTATTTTCCTCCATTTTGTGCATTAGTTGTATTAGTGCAAATTATAAGCACTATGGGACTTGCCATAGTTCTCTTTTCTTATTGCTATAAAGTGTTAAATAAAAAACATTTTGGGGGTAGCTCAGGTAAACCTATTCTTACTAAGAGATAATGCTATTAGAATGAAAGAATATGAAGACTCTCAAGTTAATCTTCACATTTTTTGCAAGTTTATAATTAGTGTTGTATTAAACATGTCATAGGCAATTGGGATAAAAGGTTATATTGTTTTGGAAAGGGATTTAAATGATGTATCAGATTAACTTTGTTCTTAAAAATGCCATTTAATTTCAAGCATTTAGTATAAATCTGGCAGATGCTGTTAAAAATACATGACATTTAAAAATTGTATATGTCACAATGAACTGCCTGAATACCATATGATATTCATAAGTAATGAGAAGATCTCCATTTATTATTTTCTATGTCTGGTGAGCATCTGATAAGCTCTTTATTTCTGCTACCTGGTCTTAGCTACACTACTCCCTAGTAAAGGGCACTTGAGGGCAATGTAAGGAAAGAGCTGGAAGAAGGGGAGATTATGGGTGATGGTGGGGAAATGTAAGAGCTGACTTCAATAGTCTGAATGGCCCCGTATGGAAGAGGGATGGACTTGTCTCCGAAACAGAGTTAGGACCACTGCTGGGAATTGCAAGGAAGCCAACTTTGGTTCGCTTAGTGTAAGGAAGTGAAGTGTAAGGAACTTTCTATTAATTAGAGATGACAAACAATGGGACAGATAGTATTAGGGACAACCAGAAGAAATGTTGAGGCAAAGGTTTCAACCTGTCCTTCAGGATGTTGTCAAGATAATTTCTGCTACAGATTAGAAGTTGACCAGATAACCCTCTGGTCCTTTCCAACTCTATGCTTAAAACTAAGGGAGAGAGAGAAATGTGAATTAGCGGTGATCATGCTTATGTGGCAGATGATGAACCTCTCTCAACCTCGGAGCCCTCAGCTATTAGGGGGATAATAACACCTGCCCTAGGAGAGTTGTGACGGTTAAGTGTGTGAGAGTATTGAAGCAAACTTGCAAAAAATGGCCATTTCTGTGCAAACCAAAGGACATGTTATGCTCTTTCATATTTCAGAGGTGAAGACCTTCAGGGCACAAAGTGGAAAGTGTTCAGTATCTTCCAACCTAGAGATTCATATTGAAAGTGGGGATAAGTCACTTCGTACATTTCAGAACCATTGATTTAGTGCCCCGTAACGGTACCTACTGAACATAAACAATAACAAAAAATGTTATCTCTCATAATTATTTGCAACAAAGTCAAATAGGACGGTGGTGTGCATTTATGTAACAATAAGGGACACAGAGCAAAGCCTGATTAACATATTCGTGTTAAGCTCAGCCAGGCGGGACAACCATACAACACACACAAACATTATTACTCTAGCAAAACAATTTTTGAGACAGCAAAATGTCAAAAAAAAAGTTTAAAGGCAATCAATTAATATATCTTTAATAAGATAATAGTAGATAGGAAGATCTAATAGACAGCAAAATTACAAAGCATAAACCTGTGTATGATGCAGCCCCAGCTCCTGAGGATGATAAATCTACACAGTAAAAATATTATTGGTTAAACAACAAGAGAAACACAGTCATTATAAAACAGGCATTGAAAAAGTTAATCAAATCCAGCGCTAGGTAAGTGGTTTAGCAACACCAGAAGAATCCCAAATTCAGACCCAGATCACCTGACCCTTTTGTAATTTATACAAGTCTCACAGGTTAATTGCAAAATGGCTCAAAACTTTGTGACAAGTGACAGAGCCACCACATGTGAATAACCCAATCTCGCCAGCCCCAAGGCAGCCAGCCATCTGCAAAGAGATAACTTCCAGGGCCAAAGGAGGCCTGGTTAAGTCAACCAGTATTTTATGTTTTTAATAAAACATTTACTTGTCTTAAGGCTGATTTAGTTGGGACCAAGGCCAGAAAATCCAAGTAAATTTAATCTAACACTGTGTAAGCAACGTCTTGTAGTTTACTGTACATCCTTTTATTCAAAGCACGGTTTATTTCTTTTGGGGGGTCAGGGGTGGGGGGAAATGACAGCTTGTTATTTTGTGGCCCTGCAACAGACGGTCTGCAGGGTCTGCAATGACAGAAGGTCTCGGAGACATTGGCTAAAATTGCTTGTAACAGCTTCTGGTTTTAGTTCTGGATATTACCACCATAGCACTAAGTAAAATGCTTATACCAATATTTCTTGAATAACTATCTTTAGATATTAACTAATAACTTCCTACTAATAATAAATAGATGTAAGTCATTTTTACCCTCCTCTCATATATAATAGTTTTAGCATGATTTTTAATTCCTCCATTGGTTACCTTTATGATTTCATCTGCAGTCATTATACCTGGGTTCCTGACTTGACAATAAGAGGCTACTAGCCCTCCTGCCCTTACCTCTCTCCTGCCTCCTCCCACTTCTCATCTCTATTTTCCACACTTTCACCTTTACATTGTGATAGGTAATGACATTTACACTCTGTACTGAGCTTTGGCTATTGGTTTAATTTAAAAAATCCAAAAATGGCCGGGCGCGGTGGCTCACACCTGTCATCTTAGCACTCTGGGAGGCTGGGGCAAGAGGATAGTTTGTTTGAGCTCAGGAGTTCGAGAACAGCCTGAGCAAGAGTGAGACCCTGTCTCTACTAAAAATAGAAAGAAATTAGCTGGACGACCAAATATATAGAAAAAATTAGCCAGGCATGGTGGTGCATGCCTGTAGTCCCAGCTACTAGGGAGGCTGAGGCAGGAGGATCTCCTGAGCCCAGGAGTTTGAGGTTGCTGTGAGCTAGGTTGATGCCTGGGCAACAACAAAAAAAATCCCAAAACAATAAATCATGCTTACATTCTAGCAACCACATAAATATTGTTCTCTGCAGAGAAAAGGAAGGGATTGTGATTACATTTCCTTCATTGCAGCTTCAGTATATCATACCTCCACTACTCAGCAGAGAATGTTCAGATGGACTCTCTTACCTACCTTCTGACATTTGCTTAAAATAATGCCACACAGGACTTTATATATTTGTGTGTGTGTGTGTATGTATATATATATATATATATACATACATATATATATATATAACTTCTTTGTTCACCTCTTTGTTTTTCCTGGAATTTCTAATTGCCTTCCTTTTTTTGCTTCTTGGGGGAGGAAATCTATATCTTATTCACCATATCTCTAATATCTAGTATAACTAGATATTAATGTTGTCTATTGCTTGGATTAACAATGTTTTTTTTCAAAACCTATAAAATGCCTTAAACAAATTAAAGATGAGAGGGACCTTGAGTTTCCCAAGACAAAATTTTGTCCCAAATTCTCTCACTTTTTAAAATACATATAATCTCTCAATATATTTCATATGTTAGCAATTACAAGAATTTTTGTTTTGGTAACAAAAAATATTGCTGGTATTAATGTGTTAACATTAAGTTTTTTCTCTTATCATCTTAACCTCTTTCCTTCGTTCCCCATTACAAGTTCTGGGATCTGCACAGAACCATAATGCCAGGTATAAGCAAGCAATTCTCAAGTACAGAAAGAAGAGTGTATTGGCTGCCAATGCTTGTGAGAATAAAAACAAAATACACATTATTTTAGGGAGTGGAGATTACATGGTTCATTGGCATCTGACCTCATTATTCCTGCAAGGGATTCTGCTGAGAAGAGAATATTATGTTGCATTTGGGTGGACCTGTGTCAATGCCACTCCAAAAAATAATGTGCTGACACTCTGTATTGACATTCAAAAATTTTATAAAACAGATACTGGGAAAGAGGTTTGGGATGGGAGCAAGAGAGCTAAAATCTTCAAACTGTGAGTTGCTTCAATTATTATTAATTGTCTATTGGCCATCACCAACACATCACAGAAATGGTTCACATGTGGCTTTTAAGAAACCAAGTCTATCGCCAGGTGGCTACCTCAGTCCATTCTTTCTCCAGAAGTTCTGTATCTTATCTGGTTCCAAATCTGCTAAGTGACTTACCTTCCACTTCCCCACCAGAGGCAGCAATTTTAGAGAGGTGTAGGTACGTTGTTCCAACTACATCATTTTTAGTAAGACGGTCCCTGTATAAAAGAACAGGTTAAGGCCTCCACCTATGAAAACATGTCTTCATTTCAATAATAAAGAAGTAGAGCTGGAAAATACCCCAGACCTCAGAAATCATCATGTCCACCTGGTACCCCACCCCTCGGACCACCCCAACTTAATAAAAGTGGGAAAAATCGGGTAGACAGTGCTCGGAATTTGGTGGCGAGGCCCCTCTGAGCTCTCCGTGTGCCACTGGGTTTGTCCTTGGGACCACCGCTGTAACACTTGCTGTAACAATATTGTGGGGGCACATTTGCTCGCTACAAGTGTATACAACTTTGTGTATCCCTCTGGGGGTACCTTAGACAGCCTGTGAGCCTGAACCATACAATGCTCTCGGACTGGGAGCATACTGTTAAATAGGTACATTGTCTCTGCTTCATTCCTCTTCATTCCATCTAGTGGCGTGCCAGCTCTAAAGAGCAAAGCCCCATAGCAGGGAGCAAAGGTTCAGTATTTGGGGGAAGGATTATAGCAAAGTATATTAGGTTATAGAAAGTGACTAAACACAATTTGTGTAAGAAAAACTTATTATTTATGAGTATTAAATCACCTGCATGGGGTTTGAATCTTTTCTGTCCATCCAGACGATATTGTCTAGAATACAATTAAAGAACCTTTATCTTTTCCTAGTTGTCCAAATACTTTATAGGATATGTAACCTAAGATCTGGCTCCAAGGATTCCCCAGTTAAACTGCATCTCTCTGTGCAGCCTAAGCTACACTATTGCTTTGGGGAGAGCAGACTAGGTCAGAAAAACAAAACAAAACAAAACAAAACAAAACAAAACAAAAGACAGGCACTTGTAGTGACTACAGGTAACTCTGGGATGGCTCAAACAGCAATCAGCCCATAGGCCAGAGTGGTCACTTGAGCTATATAGGTTCCACACCCACACTCCTGAGGGTTCTTGAGGGCACTAGAGCACGTTTTGTAGGTGGCCTGAGGGTTGCACCTGCCTTAAAATCAGCTTACACTCATTGGAAAGGGGCTCTTTGTCCTCAGTGCTCAATTATGGCCCTCAATTAATTGTGATGTAGTCATTGGACAAAATGGGATCCACTCCCCTCCTCCCACATGCCTGATGCCATAGTACTGATAAGGTACTAACAGGAAAGTTGAATACATTTGGCCAAAGGAGATATGGTGGAGATAGCCAGACAGGGTGGGAGCCCAAATGGGTCTCTTTCCAAGTGACTGTGAGAAGCTACCTAACTGTCAGAGCCTTAGTTTCTTCATCTGTAAAATGAAGCTAATAGTAGTCTCTCCTCCATAGAGTTACTCTAAAAACTAAATGGGATAATGTAGGTAAGATATTTGGCACAGTGCTAGGCTTGGTAGTGCTCGAAAACATGGTAAATAACATGATAAATTATGATGATGATGATGATGGTGGTGTTGATATTTGCCATGTTTCCATTCTCAGAGAGCAAAGGGCTGCCAGTTAATGCTCCATTCAACTAGAACTTTCCAAGAATGATTTCTTTATGGACAATCAGTACTAGGAGGCTGGTCTAGTAAAAATTCCAATGGACCATTATAATGAACTTTCTTTGCCTTCAGTTAGGTAGTTTCATTCACTTTCCTTTCTAGCAATAGGCAAAGAATTGTTCTCAGAATGTTTTGATGATTCTTCCCAAGAAATGGACTTGGGAAGAATCTGTTCTTTAAAACTCTATTTCTGAAGTCTATTTTGGACAGCCTGATGATATTTAAATCCTTGATTTCTTATCTTGGGGCATTTCAGATCATTTTCCCCTTTTATTTATGAACAGTTGAATCAAAATATCCAAAGCTTTTCTGCAATAACACTGTTATTAAATGTTTTTAAAATTTTTTTTAGAAAATACCCAGTCCCAAGAGCAGTTTATCCCCTTCCTTTGGAAGGAAAGCAAATACACTGGAAAGTTAGACCATCTAGAATAATGTTTTACAATATCCAAATGTTTAATTATTTAATGTTGAATTAGACATATGTCTATTTTTAACTCACCAGTCATATATTGTTAGTTTTATTTTTTCACATACTGAAGGAAACTGTAAAATTGAAACAGAAAAAAAGTAGTTATTTCTCTATTTATCCAGTCACTATTAAAGTAAATACTCTTACTTTTTCTAAAAGAAAAGAAAGCCAAACCTTGATCTGAAGATTGACGACCTGATTCCACTCTGGGTTTGCATTTTTCTCAATTATATTTGTGCAAACCTGAAAAATCACCAAAGCAAAACAGTAGGTTTTCAACTTTCTAATGTTTCAAAGTTTACAATATATGTAAAATAGAATATGAGTCTGGCAGTTTACTTATCAGTTATATACTTAGTAACCTGGTTAAACTTTATTTTTCTTGCTAATAATTTGGTAAAATACGACATGAGTTTAATACTGATCTTTGCTTCTTCTATGCGCTAAAAGCTTGTTTTTAATGATTTCTTCATTAGTTTTCAATTGTCAGATTTCTAACATTAGGTTAATGTAACGAAGCAAGAGTTAAGGTTTATGAGCATTTAATATATACTGTTTTATAAGCATGTCATCATTAACACACCCAAACAGATCTTTTGATCCCACCCACCAGCGTCCTCGCCCCCCTACCCCAAATTGGCTCCTGTTCCAGTCTTTCCATCGCTGTCCGCCCAGTTGCTCAGGGTCGGAACCAGAGTCAGCCCTAACATCTCAGAGGCCCCATCACATGCCTCAGTCAGCCCATTAGCAAATGCTGACACTTCCATCTTCAAGCCAATCCTGAAACATTTCTCCCCCAGACACCTGCAGGTGGCTCCCATCTGGATCCCGACTGCCTCTCTTCCTCCTGACTTTTATGTCACTCCTCTGTGTAACATCTCCAGGGAGCCCTCAAAGGACACAAACAAGTTCAGATTGCCACTTGGCTGACAAAGTCCCACCTGTCCCAACACCGCTTCTCTCTGCCCGCATCTCTTAGTTTTCCCCGGCTCTCTCCACTGCGGCCACACGAATATTCCTGTGCTGCAAGTGCGTTTCCTCCTTGGGGCCTTTCCATTGCACGTCTCTCTGCCTGGAAGCCCCTGCTCCCCAGACCTCCGTACATCCAGGCCTTTGCTTAAACGTCATCTCCTCAAAGTTGTCCCACCTGATAACCCTGCTAAACATCCCTCCCCTACACCAATCAACGCATAATACTTAGCCCTGTCTGAAATCATTCCATTACTCGTTTGCTTATTTCTTGTCTGTCGCTACTATTCCAAAGCTCCATGAGAGCAATGGCTGTTCCATGTGCTCATTTCTATATCCCACCACGTGGGACACAATCTGGTACTCAGAAAGTGCTCAATAATTACTTCTCAAACTAATTAACCCTCTCAACAATCCTATGAGATTATTATTATTATCTCCATTTTCAGGAAATTAATAGTCAGAGGGGTAAAGGATTTGCCTACCTATGGAGTGGGGTGAAGCCTGCATTGGAATCAGGCCTCCTTTTGCCCCAGAGCTGAAGGCTTTTCTACCACACACCCCTGACTCTTTTAGGAAAAAAAAACCCAGTCGTGTGTGTGTGTGTGTGTGTGTGTGTGTCATTTGTCAAATCTTGCTTTCACAAAAACATGGTTCAAACTCAGAAGATGCTAGTTCTTCATGCCTATAACTGTCCACAATGTGTTGCTATTCTACTGCGGAATCTCATTCTCCAATCTTTCACAATCTGGGTAGGTTAACATTGTCCCTACACCAAGAATCTCCCAGATTTTTCCAGAGGAGCAGGATGGCAGGAGGGAGCAGCTGGGCAGCGGGGGTCTACACTCTACGACATTTACCAGGGATGCTAGTGGCTGGCTAAGGAGCTTGCCTCAGATTAATATAACACTCAGACCTGAAAAATAACTCCAAAAATTCGGTGATAGCTTTTGCTATTCTAATCTTTCAAAAGATTGAATTTTCTAATTTGAGCTCTGCATACTTTCCACTCCAAAATAAACCTGTGGAGAAGTCTGGCGTGTTCAGACTCAGATAATCTGTGTTCCTGCAGAGGGCCCCGCTCATCAGGGGGCTGTTTTAACAAACAGTAAGCAGGAATTCACTCCAAGGAAAGCATGGTGTTTGAAATATTTATTCTTAGAGGCATCTGCATTTAGATCACGTACAAACCTTTTTTCCAGCAAAGGAAACTTCTACAAAAGGATCCACAAGGTTTTTCTTATCTGCATTGCCTCCAAATATTTCCTTCACTGTCTGTGAGAAGGCATCATCCACTGGAAAAGAATACGTCACAAAGCAGAAATTAAATTCGATTCTCTTAAAAGAGCAGAAATTATTCAGCAAAATTTAAAAAATTTCTCTTATAAGTAAAAATAATTGCAACAAGCATTGTTCCCCTGGGTGGCAAGAACTAGTAGCAGAAATCCTTTTTGTCTTAGTTGAAAGAAAAAGAAAATGTTTTCTCCACAAAGTTTTAAAATCAATAGAAGCAACTTGAAAAATAAATCGATAAATTACTATGCTGAGACTTAATCATTTATTGAGTGAAAAAAAGTAGAATAAAGTTCATTCAGTCAGGATAAGAGGCAATTCTCAAACTCAGGCCTGGTTTCAATTTGGAAAAGGTGCTTTAGGTTGCAATAATATAGGTCTAATCTCCCTTTTGCAGAAAAATTCAAGAAAATTTGGCATAATCCTAAACAACACGTTTAATCAACTATGATCTATTTCAACAAACTCAAAAGTGAATAGAAATCAATTAAACAGGTCAACGTAGGAAGTATAATGTAAGGTTTAATTTATTTATTTGCTTTGAGATATATCTAAGGGAAAGATATATCTACGGGAAGGCATTACAGGGTCTTAAAAAAAGGAGAAAAGACTAGGTGCCAGTGGCTCACACCTATAATCCTAGCACTTTGGGAGGCTGAGGTGGGAGGATCATTTGAGCTCAGGAGTTCAAGACCAGCCTGAGCAAGAACGGGACTCCGTATCTACTAAAAATGGAAAAATTAGCTGGGCACAGTGGCGCATGCCTGTAGTCCCAACTACTCAGGAGGCTGAGGTAGAAAGATTGCTTGAGCCCAGGAGTTTGAGGCTGCAGTGAGTTATGATGATGCCACAGCACTCTAGCCCAGGCAACAGATTGAGACTCTGTCTCAAAAAAACCCAGAGGGGATGGGGTGGTGAGAAGAACTCCCAGGAGAAGGAGCAAATCCTGAAGAGACCCCTGGTCTGTACGGTGGGCACTGCCTCCTGCGGACTTGGAGAAGGGTTCTGTGTCCCAGAGTCCAGCAGGAAGCAGGCAGGCTGGGCAAGGCAGAACAGATGTCAGTAGTAACAGAGGAGGATGTGGACTAGTGCCTGGAAATGGAATCTCTATAAGCGATTCTCTTAGATGTATCTGATCTCGTTAAATGTATATCATAATACAGTGGTAATAGACTTCCAGTCATTGAGACTTTACCACTCTTTGCTCGGCTATTTTTAATAGTCAGCAAACACATTTATTTGAAAATAAAAGTTCACAGTTTAATTTGGGATGAAAGGGATTGAAAGTGCTGACTGATGGTTTCTCCTTAGCATTCTCTAGAATAAGGGGAAAATACAGGACATTGGTAGAAGACAAAAGAGAGGAGAATGGGTGAAAGCAGGTGCACAACAGGAACACGGATCGGCAACCAGCCGGCTGCACCATAAACAAGCTCAGGTAGCTTTCGGTGGGGCCAGAATGAATGAAGATAATTCCGTGAAAAACACATGCTAGGAAAGAAAGAAAACACGTGGTAGGGAACACCGATCGCTCTTCAGAGTAAGAGCTTAACACATCTCATCCCGCAGACAACTGATAATCCCGGGGCAAGCAGAAATCGGTACGTACTCTGGGGGATATCTTCAGCTCGGTAGATTTTCAGCAGGAAGGTCACCCACCGGAGGGCGATGCCAGCAGGGAGTAACAAATTACTCTCCACATCATCACAGTCGCCATCGCGGTCTTGTTTGTCAGGCTATTGGGGACACATGATTAAAACTGTACATACAGAAAAGCAGCACTTGGAAAAAGCCAAATTAATGCTTCTAAAAGGAAACCAATCAGAACTGTTTCCATTAGGATTTCCTGTGTTTGGGGCATAAGAGTTCAGCCGCCAATTTTCCTTCCACCTCAAAACTGCTCTACAAAAATCAATGCTCCTAGGTTTCTGTGTCCTTTTGTAATTTGATGAGCACCAAATAGTACAGTACGTGCGTGTTCCTGATGCTCTTCCAAATCTCGCTGGCCACTCACTATTCTCCAGTTTGCTGCCCAGTTTCCCAGAATAACCACTAACCATTTAGGTAGCAATGCCTGACTCTGCGGGCAAGCCCTGCTCTATAGATAAAATGAGTCTTTATAAATGAGGCAAGGAAATTGGGAAAACACACAAATCTTTTCTGAATTAAATGCTCGAGCATGGACACCAGGAAGGAGTCTAGGTGAGCCAGAGTGATAATTCTATGATGAAAAATACCCTGATCATTGCATGAATTACAAACTATGCTCCATTTCGCAGTTCCTGGTGCCCACATGCTTAATTCATGGTCTTCTTGTTTAGTGGTAAGTGTTAAAGGTAGAGAATTTAGGGACTCACGGGAGGCTCGTCTCCAGTTCCCAGGACAAACATGCTGACTTTCATGTAACCTTTAGCGCCTGAGCCTGTATCTTCCGGGTCATTGAGAAGAAGCCATTTTCTCATGACAGCATGACCTAAAATAAAGAAAGAGTAGAAGGACGGGGACATTCTAAAGAGATGCTGACAGGTCTGTGATTTCATCTGCCATAAGATAAACAAGCATTTTCTCGGAAGCCTCATGGTACACACCAAATTCCCAGAGGAGTCTCCATGTTAATGACCTCTGTTCTGCACCGTCCCCCACCCCACCCCACCCCCGCCGTCCTGTCAAACAAGATTCTGCAAGCTGGATCAACTAATTTTATAATCTGATCTTGATAAGATCAAAATATCCTCGCAAACAAAAATTACACATCCGTACTAAGCTACTGTAATTAACATTTATTCCCACTAAGCATCCTCCTCTTTCCCATCAAAAAAATCATATTTTTAAATTTCTTTGACTTTAATTCCTTGGCTCCTGCTCTCCCCCCACCAAATTGTATTGCTTGCTAGAATCTTATTCAGTGTTGGAAGGCATGAACTTAAGACTTCAAATTGAGAGAGAACATTACTTACCAGGTTCATCATAAACGAATCCAACATCAATCTGGGAAAAAATAATTTAAAGTAGTTTGAGTAAATTTTAAAATCAGTCTAGTCACTATAAAGAAACTATCATGATTATATTTATTTTTTTTTTTATTTTTTATTTATTTTTTTTTTTTAAGACACAGTCTCCCTTGTTGCCCAGGCTAGAGTGAGTGCCATGGCGTCAGCCTAGCTCACAGCAACCTCAAACTCCTGGGCTCAAGCAATCCTGCTGCCTCAGCCTCCCGAGTAGCTGGGACTACAGGCATGCGCCACCATGCCCGGCTAATTTTATATATATATTAGTTGGCCAATTAATTTCTATTTATAGTAGAGACGGGGTCTCGCTCTTGCTCAGGCTGGTTTCGAACTCCTGACCTCGAGCAATCCGCCCGCCTCAGCCTCCCTCATGATTATATTTAAATATAATGCTCTTGACTAGACTTAAATTTCCTTCAGACCCAACATTTCCATCTTACCCTCTTGCATCCCCAGTGCCTTGTCTGAAATGTGGCACATAGATGACCCTCAATAAATCACTACTGAATGAATGAACTAGTCTTACAGCTAGAAGGGACCATGGAAATAGGGTGACCAACATGTTCTAGTTTGCCAGGGACTGTCCCAATTCTAGCATTAAAAGTCCCAGGCAAACAGGGACCATTGGTCATCATACAGAAATTCACCTGGCCCAACTTTCTGTCCAATCCTCCTCCTCTTCTTCCTCTAGCTAATGCTAATATTAATACAACCATTGACTGAGCAGTTCAATGTGTCAAGTGCTGTGCTAGGTGCTTACATATACTACCTCATTTAATCTTCACAATGACCCCATTTTACAGATGAAGATTAGAGAGGTTAAGTGAGTACCCTCGGAACACGTGGCTCATTGGTGGCAGACAGGGTATGAACACAGGTTTGCCTGGCCCAGGACATCTAGTGACTGGATCGTTCCTTGGGGAGGCAGCCTATTCCAGGTAGAATTGTTGGGAAGAAGCCAACCAGGTACTGGCCTTTTAATTTCAGTGAATGTTTCTTAGAAAAGCACCCTGAATCTCTTGCCTAGTTTGGCTTTCCTTTCACACTCCAGACTTATAATTGGCTTTGTGTTAATGGATAGAGTCCTGGGGCCACTGGCAAGTGGAGCTGGATGGTGGGTTTCCTGCCATAGAAGTGGATTCTCTTCCAGTCACAGAGGGAACCCTGGCAGGGCTCTGAAGTGGCAGCTTCAGGGCATCCTGCTTTGGGGCACTGCTAAGTGTTGGACTTTAGAAGTCAGAAAGCCCTAGGCAGCCCTCAGCAAGGATCATGGTGTTGATCTCTTACATGTGACCCTAAGACGTCACCAAGATGGGTACCCAGGAATCAGATTTCCTCTTACGAAAGTTCTCATCTTAACGTAAGTTGAATGAAGCAGACTATTGTCACCTACCTTAAATTCCCCCATCAGACAATCTGCCCGCAGAGAGTGGGAATTATAAACCTGGAAGAAAGAAGAAGAGTGACGAGGTGATGGGCGCTGGCTGGCAGAGAGTGCCCGGCCCCTTCCCACCGCCGAGCCTTACCCGGATGCTGATGATCTCCTCCATCAGCTCAGAGGGGGTCATGTTGACATTGTAGAAAAACAACTGTCAAAACAACAGGGAAAATGTTTCAATGTTAGCTTTATTGGGATCTGATGATATAATTTTGGGAGACCTCCTAAAAAAATGCAAAACACAAATTGAAAATTAGGTTTAACCACGTGCACACATTGCAGGACCTTGGAAAAGGCCCTGAAGTTGAAGCTTCCTGGTAAACCCACTCCTGCATGTTGGAAAAAGGAAAAAAGAGTAACAAATATAGCATTTATTTAACTAAATAAAATTATTTATTCAGGACTAGGTGTCTAAAAGCTAAATGAAGTAAAGATACAAGGCTAATTCATGTTGCAACGCTTGCTAAAATAGATGCTTAGGGCTGGCATGATCTAAGGTGTTTGTTTAATTCTCTAACATTTTTAGCTCTATTGTTTGTGTCTAGCGACTCTAATCTTACTCTTTCTAAGAAAACACCTTCAAAGATAACTTTGCCCATTAGATTATGTTAGTGCCTCAGCAGAGTCAAGATTGATCACATTTTAACTTGTTGTAGCAGCTAATTTTAAGAAAGTAAATTCTTGAGAGATGAATATTAGGTATATATAGGTTGTATCATGTCAGGCCAAGAAACGTTAATCTTAAAAAAAATTTGAGCATTTATTCTAACTGAGACTTTTTTCTCCAACTTTTAACTTAGAAATATTTCAAATTTACAGGAAAGTTGAAAGAATAATAAGATAAACACTGATTTTCAACTATGTTCACCATTTATTACCATTTCTTTATCATTTTCTTTTTTTGACTGACTTATTTGTAAGAAAGTTCTAGATGACATTTCACTCCTTCAAAATATATTTTGAAATATATATTGACATGCATTCCTAAGAGCAAAAACATCTTATATAAACATAATATTATTACCATATCCAAGAAATTTAACATCTAACAAACCAGTCCAAATGTCCTCCCCCCAAAACTTCTTTTTAGCTTTCAAAATAATCCAGGATCCATGCAAGGATCATACATTGCATTTGGTTGTTGTGTCTCTTCAGTTCTTTTTATCTAGAACAATACTATTTCCATTTTTACTTGTTTCTCATTTCTTTCTACAGAGACCAGTTGCTTCATAGACTACCCCACATTCTGGATTTGTGTGAATGTTTCCCCACTTTTGGATGCAAGTTGATCATTTAACAAGACATGACACAGGTGACATTGATTACTTCCATTCTGTCACATCAGGACACCATGTCATTTTTGTCCCATTATTGGTGATAGCAAATTTAATCGCTTGGTTAAGAAGATCTACATGAACCAAAATTTTTGTAGTAGAATTCTTTTATTGATTTATAAATCAGTCTGTTTAGAGCCCTAAGTATTTGTTTCTTCCCTTTTTTGCCAAGAAATCTGATCCCCCCAAAATTCATTAAAATGGAAAAATTCTGAGGAAGTCTGGGATTCTTGCTGGGCTCCTCAGAGAGCTGTTGAGTAAACAGGATGCCTGCATTATAAGTGCCTAGATAGGTCTTACACCTCTGGCCACGTCAGCCAGCACCCTGCCCTCCCCCTGGCCCAGTCTTGCCCTCCTACGGGAATCTCTCCCAGCCTTCTCTGAAGTCCATTCCAAGTGCCCCATCCCAATGTGACCTTGACCTCTTAAAAGAGCTTTCATACTCCTGTACTTGGCAGCCTGTTGTTGTCTGTGATTCCTCTTGGGAGAGGAAGTCAGAGGGGAGAAGAGAATGGCGACATCCAGGAAGCTGGGGACCAGCTTGCACCATGGGGAAATAACACAAACCCCGTGCAGAAGAAACTGGTTTATTTTGTGAATAGAGAAGTACACCAAAAGAAAAACTGGAGTTGGGATTAGAGGCTGTGGGAACTGAAGAGAAACTGTGATAAGTAAGACCTGAGTGGCCGGGCACAGTGGCTCATACCTATAATCCTAGCACTGTGGGAGGCTGAGGCAGGAGGATCGCTCCAGGTCAGGAGTTCGAAACCAGCCTGAGCAACAGCGAGACCCCATCTCTACTAAAAATAGAAAGAAATTAATTGGCCAACTAAAAAAATATATAGAAAAAATTAGCCAAGTATGGTGGCACATGCCTGTAGTCCCAGCTACTCAGGAAGCTGAGGCAGAAGGATTGCTTGAGCCCAGGAGTTTGAGGTTGCTGTGAGCTAGGCTGACGGCACAGCATTCTAGCCGGGGCAACAGACTGAGATTCCATCTCAAAAAAAAAAAAAGAAAAGAAAGACAGACCTGGGCTCACAGGCCCAGAGAATCTCAGAAATGTGTCTCCTCAGCCCAGTAAAAGACTGTTGAGGTATTAAGTATTTTTGAGGAGCACTATAAAAGAAGTCAAGAGAAGTAGGACACATTCCTAGTATGGGGAGTGAAAAACCTGGCTTGCTTATAATTGCTTTCCTTTAGGATGTATTATTTTTATAGCCAAGTAAGTTTTGACATCTCAAAAAACCTGCATCATTTAGTCACACAAAGTTGTCCATCAGGGACATCCTGCTAATTAGCAAAAGCGAAGGTAGATATAAATGACGTCAGGGGCTCTATCATTGAGAAGTTGTTGTGAAACAGCAGAAAGAGACCAGCATCTCTGAGAACCAGTGACAAAGCCCACCAGGAGATTTGAACACCCAGTGGTTCGTAACTTTGTCTGTTTCACTCTGGAGCTCCGTGCTGCCTTTACCAGTTAAGTTTGCACCTGTGTTTCCCTCCCTGACAGGACCCACTGAGCAGGAACATGCATTCTCCACCCATTTACCTCATCGAAAAACGGATTGTTCCCTCTCTTGATTCTCGTTCGGTGTGTCTGGCCACAGACATGGACTTTGACCACAGGCCTTATGTTGTTGCCACTTAACTGCCGGCCCTCAATCACTCTGACACGGATCTGCGGGCACAGAAGGGGTATTGTCACCGATCCTTTCCCAGCACAATGTGTAACAGAACCCTCAGGAGGAGGATTGCCAGAACCAGGCCAGGACGGCTCTGCAGTATACCGGAGCTCACAGACCGGGAGCGGCCACCTGCGATCACGCCCAAGATGGAAACTGGGGTTGGGTTGTAGAAACTGAGAGTAGTGGTGGGGCTGAAATCGTTCAAAGCTGGCTTGGAAAGGGCAGGGCAGGGCAGAGGTCACCGCTCAGACTCCAGCCTCCAGCCACGTACCTGCTCTTCCTGCGCCTAGCAATGTGCTACCTCACCCCTTAGCCATCTCCCAAGTATAAGGAAGTGCCCAGAGCTACAAAAAATGCAACATCTATGGTTCTATTCTTTGATTAGAACCATAGATAGATAATTAGAATTATCTTTCCTACCACCAAAGGAAAGGAAAGTTATAGTTTCATTTCTCTGAAGAATCTCATCTGGCTTGACTGAATCCACTTCTGCATGCAGAAGAAAGACAGAGTGGTCTTCTTATTGGGTTATGCACTGCCACCCCCTTTCACTGGTCGGGCCATTGCCCAGAGGAATAGGTCCCTCCCGGCATCGCTGCAGTTGCCTGCAGGTGGGCAGTGCGGTGGCTAAACAGGGATGGGGCGCGCCCGGGCCGCTTCTACCTGGAAGTCCTGGGGCTTGTTGGACAGCATCCGCCGGCTGTTTTTCACTCTGTTGAGCCTCCGAGCAAGCTGAGCTTCCGACACCGTCCCAGCTGGGCCCCTGGGCCCCGGGCCCCTGACTGGACTATCCAGCCTGTCTTCATCATCTTCATCTTCACCCCCTTCTCCTAAAATATCAAAAAGGAATCGAGTTAGAGAACACTCACGTTTTTCAGGAAACAGACGGGTTGCCTGCCATTGTGTTTTAAGTGTTCCCAGGATGGCAGGGGACAGAAACGCTCTCCGTGACACTGACTTGGGACTTGCTGCGACTCAGATATTTTCTTTAGGAAAATGTGTTCGTGGTGCATCAGGGCACTTGTTCAGGCTGGCTTCAAAGAGACCGAGAGAAGTCAGAGGTTACAGGGGTCACGGGAGGAGACGGCAACCGTTAGGCCCCGCCAGGAATCACTGAGTTGTGATCACAGGACCCAGCCTTAAGTCAGGGAGACTTTCTGCTGTTAGGACAGAGAAATTAGGAAATGCCACAGGAAACCAGAGCCTTGCAAAAACAGCCTTCACTGCCACCCTTCCCATTGCAGATCTCCTCTTTCGAGATCTGCTCGTGAGATGCCTGTGCTGTCTCTCTGCTTGAGCTCCCTGATTCACAAGCCTCTCTCCACCTTCATGGCAGATGAGAAACTCGCCTTGTTTTCTTGCCAAGAAGACCAAGTTGGTCATCTCACTTTCCCATTGTCCTCCGGGTTTCCTCATTCATCCCCTTAGCTGCCCTCTGCACTCGTGGGAGGAGTTTTCCCGGCTTAGCAAAATGAGCACCCCCCAGCCTCTGCCATGCCTTAGACCCTCCCACTCCTGACACACTCTCACTCTCTCTCTCTCTCTCTCTCTCTCTCTCTCTCTCTCTCTCTCATCTCCAGGGGTTTCTTCTCCACAGAGGCCTTTCCTCTGCCTTCAAGTACACACAGATCTTTCTCTCCTTAAAAATCCCCAAACCAGGCCGGGCGCGGTGGCTCACGCCTGTAATCCTAGAACTCTGGAAGGCCGAGGTGGGAGGATTGCTGGAGGTCAGGAGTTCGAAACCAGCCTGAGCAAGAGCAAGACCCCGTCTCTATAAATAGAAAGAAATTAATTGGCCAACTAATATACATATAGAAAAAATTAGCCGGGCATGGTGGCGCATGCCTGTAGTCCCAGCTACTCAGGAGGCCGAGGCAGAAGGATTGCTTGAGCCCAAGAGTTTGAGGTTGCTGTGAGCTAGGCTGACGCCACGGCACTCACTCTAGCCTGGGCAACAAAGCGAGACTTTGTCTCAAAAAAAAAAAAAAATCCCCAAACCAAAAATCAACTCTGCCCTCTCCCCTTTCTTTTATTCAAACTTTTTGAAATTCACTTAAAACCTTTAGCTTTTCTTTTCATAATAGTAATCTGTACTATATACTCTGAGAGCCCAGAAGACTAACCACCTTGTCTAGAAAATACCAGCATTCTTGCAGCCTACTTTTAAACTCTGAAGCTCCTCTTCTACAGTGCAAAATCATGGAAGAGATTTAATTTCCATATTCTCCATGCAGTTACCTGTCAGTCAATCACATCCTGGTATGAATTAGTTCAATCAGATTACTCTGTACCCCTGCTCTTGAAAGCATGGGCTCTGGAGCCATGCTGCCTGGCTTCAAATCTCAGTTTCAAGCTTTGTGAGTCTAAGTTTCTTAATTTCTCTAAACCTCAGTTTCTTCATTTGCAAAAAGGGGTAAATAATAGTATTTACAGCAGGGTTACTGTAAAGATAAAATTAATTTACGTGCAGTGTAGATTTTAATGCAGTGCCTGGCACAGAGCAGCATCCAATTAGCTTTTTGGTTTTAGTTTTGCTGAGTGCTATGGTTCGGCTATGGTTTGTTTGGCCCTGCCAAGTCTCTTGCTGAAATTTGATCCCCAGTGTTGGAGGTGGGGCCACGTGGGAAGTGTATGGATCATGGGGGCAGATCCCTCATGAATGAATCCATCCCATTCTCACAGGAGTGAGTGAGTTCTCACTCTTAGTTCCTGCAAGAACCTTTGTTGAAAAAAGCCTGGCATTTTCTCTGCTTTCTCTCTTGTTTTCTCTCTCGCCATGTGAGTCCTGCACCTGCAGTTCCCTTCATCCTCTGCTATGAGTGGAAGCAGCCTGAGGCCCTCACCAGAAGCAGATGCTGGTACCATGCTTCTTGTACAGCCTGCAGAACCGTGATCCAAATAAATCTCTTTGTGTTATAACTTACCCAGCCTCAGGTATTCTTTAATAGTCGCACAAAAATGGACCAAGACACCAATTAGTCAGTTTTGGTCTTAGTCTGTTTGTGCTGTTATAACAAAATACCACAAACTGGGTGGCTTACAAACAACAGAATCTACTTCTCACGGTTCTGGAGGCCGGGAAGTCCAAGATCGAGGCACTAGCAGATTCGCTGCCTGGTGTGGACCTGCTTGTGGATGGCACCTTCTCTCTGTGTCCTCACATGGTGGAAGGACAGAAAGAGCTCCCTTGGGCCTTTTCTATAAGGGCACTAATCCCACGCATGAGTGTTCTGACCTCTTGACTTAATCACCTTCCCAAAAGCCCCACCACCTAATACCATCATTTTGGGGGTTAAGACTTCAACATATGAACTTTGGAGGACACAACATTCAGACCAAAGCAGTTGGGAGGAGAAAGTTTGTGGCACCCAGAACAAACACTTCCTGGGAAACAGCAATGGGGCCAGGGGTGTGGGGAGGGACTAGGGCAGTCAGTGGGCAGCACTTTGCCATGGGGGCACAGAGTGAGGAAGAGGCAGCTGTGAGCAAGTAAAGGCCTCCCCCAAAGCTCAGCTTCACGGTTTAGCCCAGGGCAGCCCTGCTCCTCCACCCCCATCTGTCCATGCTTAGCCCGTCCTAACCTGGCCCCTGTCCTTCCAAGGCCAGGCCAGCCTTCCAAGGCAAGGCCAAGCTCAGCACGCTTTTCTGTGTTCTTGTCCTTGATCTTCCACAGCGGTGGCCACAGGCTCACACACACTTCTTTGGATTGTTGCAGCTGGCTGCCACCTCCTCTGACTAAACTGAAAGGGACTACCTTGCAAAAGTAACAGGAAAATACCTAACCCAGGATTTCCCCAGTAACAGTTACAGATCCATACTAAGAGTTCCCTCACTAACAGGCACCCTGCAGGAGTTCTGTTTTGCACAGCCAAAGAAAGCTGAATGGAAGGAAAAGAGATGTAAATCTCTCTCTTTCAAAAAATTTTTTTTTCTGAGAGTCTGCTTTTACAGAGTTCCTGAGTAAACAACAGGAGAGCAAGCTCTCCCAGGGCCTCACCGACTTTGTCAGGATACTGGCAAAACCTCCACAGAAGCCAAAGATAAGGAGCAGCTACCTCTGTCCTCTGCTAGATGGTCTGGGGCGCTTCTTCCCTATTCTTGAAGAGGCTCCACAAGGCGGGCTCGCCTGCTGCCTAGGAGAGGAGACCTGGATCCTTCGTCCTACCCCGGCTGAGTGCCTGTCCTTCCTCGAGCTGCAGATGCAATACGCTGTCTCCAACAGGCTTTCCCCGCCTCTCCTGGACGGAGACAGTCCCACCCTGTCCTGCCACCGCACTGTTCTGTCTGGTCCTCACCACGAGCTCTTGCATCTGCTTGTTAACCCATAGGCCTCCCCACCCCAGACACTTTCCAGAAGCCGGGGCTTGCCCTTTTCCCCTCTGTGTCTGCCCCCATGCCGTGCAGAAGTCCTGGTATCATGGAAGGGGCCTCATCAGTGTGGAATGAGTAAGTGAATGGGTGGGGATCGTGACCCCTGAATGTGCCTTCAAGTTTGGCGAAGCTACTGTCCAGTTCTCAGGAAGGAGCATGCAGACAGCTAAAGGAGAGCTCCCCCAACCTCGGCACCAGCCTTGGTGGGGCGCTGAGAGTCATTCCCCTGGCTTGGACTGAGCAATAAATGGGGAGGATAGCTTTGAAGTTCACTTCCTTCAACCATCCTGGGCCCAAGTGGGACTTCCTCCTTGCTATGGATGGGACTGTTCTCTGCCGCTGGTTGTTTATAGTGGAGAAAAAGGAGGGCTCGGTGTCTGTCTCGAAAGACAGTTGAGCAGAGAATCTCTCCTTTATGTGGCAGGAAGCTGCACAGAATTAAACGATGCAATACTAAGTGTTCCACAAAGCATGGCGGGGCCCCTAAGGCACTGCTGAACACACCCTTCTGGGCAAGATGTTTCATTACCAAAATGTTAGCAGTTGCACTGGCACGTCCCATCCATGAGACCCATTGAGTCGGGAGCCACTGACTGAATAGGAAGTTGCTGCTTGTATTAGCTTCCCGGAGCTGTTGTAACAAAGTACCAGAAACCACGTGGCTTAATAGAAATTTATTCTCTGACAGTTCCAAACCCTAGAAGACTGAAATCAAGCCATGGGCAGGGACATGCTCCCTCTGAAGCCTCCAGGGAAATTCCTTCCTTGCCTCTTCCTAGCTGGTTGCTCCTCGCAAGCCTTGGCTTATAGCTGCATCGCTGCAATCTCTACCTGTGTGGTCATAGGCCCTTCTTCCCTGTGCATCTTGTGTTCTCACCTCTTCTCATAAGGACACCAGTCGTTGGATTTAGTGCCTGCCCTAATCCAGTATGACCTCATTTTAACTTATCTAATTGTATGTGCGAAGACCCTGTTTCCAAATAAGTCACATTCTAAGGTTGCATGTAGACATGAATTTTCAGGGGCCACTATTCAACCCACCAGAGAGCCCATCTTGTGTGTCTGTCCAGTTTGCTCCTTCGGTTCCTCTAGCCACACCGGCAGTCCCGATCTATCGCCCACACCGCCTTTCCTGCCCCCACTTCCTTCGTGTCTTGCTTTGCCCCTAGCCCATGTCAGGTTCTGTGATCTGACATTGCTGTCACTCCCCCAAAGGCCCCGAGATCCCTTCCCCTCTCTCACGTCACTGTACTCACCTGGTTTATCCACCTCTCCACGTACCCCACCTCTGCACCAGGTAGCTGAACTTGGCTCAGAAGACCCCACACCTTACTGGCTGGTCCCACTTTAATTTCATGATGACAAACTGTGAGTGTACTCATCGGGCTGCCTGGCCATCCCACCACATTTCCAAGACATTAACGCCAAAGCTTTCCTGGATCGTAGTCTGAGATGGCCA